GGAAGAACGACCCAGAAGGGAAGAGAAGGCGTAGCAAAACGGTGTGTGTGAACTGCAAAGCCGGATGTCACGTGGCTTGCCTCCCACGCCATAAGTGTAAACCGTAAACAAAAACAAAACACCGTGTTGTAAATATGTGTAAATATTATATAAAAGTGTGATTTTTAACTATTGTATATTTTTAATGTTTTGACTGTGTAACCTAAAACTAATTTTCTGTGCACATTGGATCATTGAGACAGCAGCAATAAAGGTAGGCTTACGATATAACTTTATTTTTTAATGTTTTTTCTAGGTTACAGTTACAAGTAATTGTTATAAATAGTGTTTTTTATATGTAATTTAATTTAAATGTTATTTTGAACACTAATAATTGCACTGTAAGAACCTAAATGGTATTATTGTCACCCAACAATACGAAACTACCAATGTTTTACAAAATTCAAGTTTTGTCAAAAATAAACAAGTTTTTCTTTTTCTCTTATATTTTTTTTATTTGTAAATATTTTGGCTTAAAATTTTAACTGTACTCTCATAAGATAATAAGGTTTAAGAAAAGTTATAGTTATTGTGTGGAAACATAATACAAATGTTCATTTTAAAATTTTAAAATCAAAATTTTATATAAATATTTTTTAAATTTTAGATTTTTCTTACAGTAACAATAAAAAAACAATGTATATGGTTTACAAATTATACATAGACATAAAGAACAAATAAATACGAACAAAATAAAAAAAGATCATAGCTCTAGCTATTGTTTCAGCTGAGTTATGACCGTTTTAACAGATGTCATCAAATCAGTCGATTTTACAGCGGCGGTTTTCAGGCGTCGCGCCAGCTGACGGGCCGGCGACCTTCGCGCGGTCAGCTTAGCGCTCGGCGGCCTTCACGCGCAATGTTGCATTCGTCCGTGGCGGTAAAAGGGTTAATAAAGATCAGGAAAAACAGAGGGCCCAATATTGACCCTTGAGGTACACCATAATTAGATAAATTCCAGTTTGACATATGTTTCACACCGTTTTTGGTCACTATTGTTCTATACTTTCTGTTCTGTGAGTCTAATAAAGAAAAACTTTTACCCTTTATACCGTAGTCTTTTTATGATATGGTCACGGGTATTGCCGCGATCGCGGGAGACAATTATCGGTGTTGCCGAAACCGCAGGATATGCTCACCGGTATTCCCACAATCGCAGGAGATGATAGCTGGTGTCGCCTTACTAGACTAGGCCCGTTTTCAAAAAAAGGCAATGCAAGAAGCATTTCATGTAACAATTGGGGAAACAACGTTTTTAGGGTATTTCGACCCTGCTGAGTACGAATCTGCCTGTTGCCAACGCGAAATTTGAACCGGAAGTGCGGTATCCAAGATGGCGGCCAAAACTCTTTTTGCCCCATATCTCCCTTGTTAGTTGGCCTAAAATAATGGTTTAAACGTGTTTATAGGGGTTTTTCAGATGCCAAACACATAACAACACTCAAAATTGACTTAAATTAAGTTTTGAGGGCATATCTTCCAAAATGGCACCCAAGATGGCCACCAAAAACTCTAATTTCCGCATATCTTCCTTGTTTTTTGGCTAAAAATAATTATTTAGACGTCTGCATAGGGGTTTTCTCGGATGCCAAACACATTGCAACACCCAAAATTTACTTACATTAAGTTTTGGGGGCATATATTCCAAAATGGCACCCGAGATGGCTGCCAAACACTCTTATTTCCGTATATATATATATATCCCTTGTTTGTTTGTTTAAATTAATTATTTAAACGTCTACAAAAGTATTTTCTTCGGATTTTAATCACATTTGCAACACTCATTATTTACTTCCTTTGAGTTTAGATGACATATGTTTCTAAGATGGCAATAAAAACTTTATTGTGCTTACGTGAGCTCCGTGCGTATTATTGTATTTAGTGTTAAAAACCAGTCAGATATCTATTAGTGGCTGAATATGTGCTACTATTTTTGAAATACCAATTGAAATTTAGCAATGTTAAAGTAGAAGGCAAATTGTTTAATGTACTCTGGTGGCACCGTAGATAACGCGTAGTACAACAGAACCTGTAATTAAGGAATTTTTAGAATTAAGTGTGTATAATGTTGACGAATTTATCACTTATTAAAGGTGTCCAGTTATGTAAATAGATATTTATTGTAAAATATGACGATACCATACGTATTTTTTTATGTTTTACAGCAATAAATAATTTGATTTGATCTGAACGTGTAGTCCAACAGAACCTGTAAAAATTATTTTTTAGACCATCCCTAAAATCCGCAAGAGGTGGTGCATGTAAATTAAATTAAACAAAGGTACTTTATAACACATTAATAAATAATAATGAACAATTTTTGTTATAATATTAACAATGATACTGTACTGTTATATTGCATTGATCTTGTGGTACCACCCATCAATGGAGGTTTGTTTACCATGGGTCTCAATGGATAAAATATATTTTTAAAGGGTTTTTTATGGCAGCATGTTGGCCAAGCGTATATAAAAGTTAGTTTATGAAGAGTAAGTAAACAATTGTATACATGTGTACAAAATAATTGTTAATAAGGTAAAATCTTTTGTTTTCCAACCGTCTATAAAAGTTTGTTTGTGAAGAGAAAGTAAACATTTATATGCATTTCTACGAAATAATTATTTAAGGTAAGTACAAATTGTATGTAATCCTTAATTTATTTAAACTTAGCAATAGAGAGTTTTTGAACAATTCGTTAAATAATCACGGTGAACGCTATTTGTTATGTTTTCTCGTTTGTTAAATGTGAAAATAACGTATTGCGTCCCTATTGCTAAGTTTGAATAAACTAAGGATTTAATACAAATTGTACTTACCTTAAATAATTATTTCGTTAAAAAGCATATAAATGTTTACTTTCTCTTCACAAACAAACTTTTATAGACGGTTGGAAAACAAAAGATTTTACCTTATTAACAATTATTTTGTACACATGTATACAATTGTTTACTTACTCTTCATAAACTAACTTTTATATACGCTTGACCAACATGCTGCCATAAAAAACCCTTTAAAAATATATTTTATCCATTGAGACCCATGGTAAACAAACCTCCATTGATGGGTGGTACCACAAGATCAATGCAATATAACAGTACAGTATCATTGTTAATATTATAACAAAAATTGTTCATTATTATTTATTAATGTGTAATAAAGTACCTTTGTTTAATTTAATTTACATGCACCACCTCTTGCGGATTTTAGGGATGGTATAAAAAATAATTTTTACAGGTTCTGTTGGACTACACGTTCAGATCAAATCAAATTATTTATTGCTGTAAAACATAAAAAAATACGTATGGTATCGTCATATTTTACAGTAAATATCTATTTACATAACTGGACACCTTTAATAAGTGATAAATTCGTCAACATTATACACACTTAATTCTAAAAATTCCTTAATTACAGGTTCTGTTGTACTACGCGTTATCTACGGTGCCACCAGAGTACATTAAACAATTTGCCTTCTACTTTAACATTGCTAAATTTCAATTGGTATTTCAAAAATAGTAGCACATATTCAGCCACTAATAGATATCTGACTGGTTTTTAACACTAAATACAATAATACGCACGGAGCTCACGTAAGCACAATAAAGTTTTTATTGCCATCTTAGAAACATATGTCATCTAAACTCAAAGGAAGTAAATAATGAGTGTTGCAAATATGATTAAAATCCGAAGAAAATACCTTTGTAGACGTTTACATAATTAATTTAAACAAACAAATAAGGGAAATATATATATATACGGAAATAAGAGTGTTTGGCAGCCATCTCGGGTGCCATTTTGGAATATATGCCCCCAAAACTTAATGTAAGTAAATTTTGGGTGTTGCAATGTGTTTGGCATCCGAGAAAACCCCTATGCAGACGTCTAAATAATTATTTTCAGCCAAAAAACAAGGGAGATATGCGGAAATTAGAGTTTTTGGTGGCCATCTTGGGCGCCATTTTGGAAGATATGCCCTCAAAACTTAATTTAAGTCAATTTTGAGTGTTGTAATGTGTTTGGCATCTGAAAAAACCCCTATAAACACGTTTAAACCATTATTTTAGGCCAACTAACAAGGGAGATATGGGGCAAAAAGAGTTTTGGCCGCCATCTTGGATACCGCACTTCCGGTTCAAATTTCGCGTTGGCAACAGGCAGATTCGTACTCAGCAGGGTCGAAATACCCTTAAAACGTTGTTTCCCCAACTGTTACATGAAATGCTTCTTGCACGTTATAGAGAGGGATTTTATAATTATGGGCCTGATCTATACCTACTAGTTATAATGTTTTATTATGTTGTATAAAATACTTTTCTCTGGAAAAGTTTTGTTTTAAATAATAATAATCATTAATAGTAATAATAAATTATTATTAGCGGGTTGCGATTAGTTGAGCGGGTTCCGATAGTAGCTCTTAAAATTCAGGAATTTGTCTTGAATTCTCCTGGAGAACTCCTTGAATTTTTCAAACCAGGTTTAGTAGACACCATGGTGTTGAATGTACCTATTTTGTGTGTTCCGAGATCAATGTTAAATTTTATACTTGACAAATTGTAGAAGATGTACCTGAATATTTGGCAGTAGTTGTCAAAAAAACATGTAGGGAGTTTAATCTGACTTCGAAGGAGATTGACTTTATTTCATGTACCAAACTGTACAATTGACGAAATAAAGATGATTTGATGATTGCAAGGTAATTAAATACTTGAAAACCTAGATCAATATTCAGTTATTTTTTTTGTCTTACCTCTACGTGCTAGGACACTAGACTCTAGCACGGAACCGTTTTCACATTAGGCCAACACTAGAGAGTCAAAGCTTTATCACTCAGATAAAATCCATTGATGGGATTTGAACCGGAGACCCAAGTCCCACTAGTCCAGCTCACTCCCCTGAAATTTCCAGTGGTAAGACGATGAATGATAAAAATGTTGTGTTAAACGTTTTTGTTATATTGCCAGCCAAACACTGATAGTGGATGTGCTACGATGGGCTGTTTTGGCGAGACCTGGATGCCTAGTGATCCACAAGATTCTCCAAGTATTGGTTGCAGCGGTCAGGTTTCCACACATCATTGACTCTTTGTGCCATAACTCGGGTAAGGAATTGTGACAAAACAGTTTCATAGTTCTTACTCTTTCCTGAAATACAGTTTAACATATGTTACATTTTTAGATCATGCGGTTGTGGTCATACACTTTTTCTCAAAAGGGCTTAAACAACGTTGGTGTTTGTTGGTGATATGACCAAGTTAAAAGCGTTTGTTATTAGTCAATTTCTTGAATGTTACCTAACAAATAGAACTGTAACAAAAGCAGGTATATGAAAAGCTTTCTCCAATATCCCTGTGTAGTATTATTGCCTATTGGGTACTTATATTGGTAGTCGGACCACACCTAATAATTGGATGACTATGTTTTAGGTTGGTTTTGTTTAAGGGAAGGCCCTAGGCCAGGATTATAAATTGTAGAAAAAGGAGGATAGCAGCTAGCTTACCTTGAAAGTGTTGGTAGGCCATAGAACAAGTAGAAAATAACACTGTGCACACAACATTTCGTCCCCTAAGGGACTTTGTCAAGTGTAGAGAAAGAGTTTATAAATTACAAAATGGCTGCTGTTATTCTTGATTTATCTGGAAAAATCTGTTCGACTTCATCATTTATTTAAAATTGATAAACTAAGTGAATCTCTGATATTGTGAGTTGTTTTTTTGTTTTATTTTATTTTACTATTTAAACCTGCTTAGTAAACATTATAATGGGTGGGTATACCAACAATTATTTAGTACCTTAAGTTGGCTGCTCCCCATTTTCTGAAAAACAAAATTATTGTTCTAGCTGAGAAGACTTTCAATTTCAAGGAAAAGTCGAGTCATATTCAGTTCACACCAGGTGAGAACAATTGATATAATTTGAGTACTGCATGAGGTTATGGCTCTGGTTATTGTTACTGTTACATTCCACCACATTAGCATTTAGCCAAGGCCCCACTAGAAAAACAGGCCATGCTGCAGGATTCATGACGTCTATGTATATCAATTATCAAAGACTTTAGTTCTAGCTGCATTTGGTGGATGGAGGGCTGGCTCTCCTAATATTGTTGGTGCAACCATCATTCATAGGAAAATGTAGGCTATTAGTACATTCCAAATACATGTATACAGGGCGACAATTAAGTCTTAGGACGACTTAATAACTTTTAAAAAGAAAAGAGATATCTCAACCAAATTTGGCATATCATTACTGGTAATAGTAAGCTACTTTTCTGGGTACATGGTTATTGGATGCCACCTATGTGGGACGGCCCATTTGGAGTAAGTTGAAAATCTTAAGGGTAAGTATAAGTACCCTACAATTCGACAGAATATCAAAAATGGCAATCGTTCAAATATTTCTTGAATCTACCATTTTGAAACGCCTGTCATTTTGTACTCAGTTATTCTTTCCAGCTCAAATGTCAGCATTGTATTCAAATATTAAAGACCTTTAATTTATTTTCTTCCATCTTCCACCCTGAAGAGGTAGTGTATAGTAGCATTGCAAATTCAATGAATCTTTGAGTAACTGTCATTTTTGACTCGGTTGTCCGTTTGGGTTCAGGTTTGAGGCAAAGTGTTAAACTAAGACCTTCAATGTGATACCAAACTCAACCTATGTTGCAATATAAGAATTTTGTCTGACTCCTAGTGGGCCGTCCCCTTAAGGGATAAAAAAGTAATGATGAGTTAAAAGAGTAGTATGGTTATTATTGATATACCAAGTCTCATTACCAAAGAATCTATTACACCCTTCCTGGACTTATCAGTCACACTGTATAGCTGGTACTTAAAGAACATTGTATGTTTGTTTCCCCCAGACTCTTGTATACTCCAAGTGTTGTGCAGTCTGCTGAGGGCTGTAGTCACCCCAAGGAAGCACCAGCTGACAGATGTGTGGACTGTGTGGGTGTTGTCGCTGTTCTGTAGCGGTCAGTCTCGTCCAGCATGGCTCACAGTCAAGCCCACAGCCAAGTCTTGTCAGTGTCACTCTCTTGTGTGTGAACTAAGCTTACATCTACTTAGTGACACCTGCTACGCTTACCCTTCAGGTTGGTTTGCTTTTATATATATTTTTGTGAATTTTTCATATAGGAATAAGCTATTACCATAGGTCTCTTGGTAAGACCTAGACCCGAGACCGATTTATTTTTTTGTTTTGAGGTCCCCAGAGGCCGAAAACACCATCCGTTCAACAAATTCATATGTCCGTTAGCGTGATAACTCTAGCAAAAATGATCCGATTTTGATAAAATTTGGTACAAATGTGTAAACTTACATGTATTTGAACGAGTTCGCTAACCAGCTTGATCGCGCTATGGGAACAGGAGTTTATGGAAGGTTTTATAGAGTAAAATTAGTTTTTCCCAGTTTTTACCCTAAAAACATAAAATTTCACAACTTGTTTCCAGATCATTTTGTAGAGCTTTAAAAGGTTGTAAGGTTTAGCATATCTAGATGCGTTGTTGTATGCCGAACCGTTACAGACATACCTAATTCAAATAATTTTAAATTTTAAATTCCCATGTTATTCACGTGGAGAATAAATTAACTGTTGTGCTTTGTACTTGTTTATGGATATATTTCAATCAAATTTGGCAATTTGTTTAATGCATAAAAAATGTAGCGTCATATTAAGTTGTCTTAGCAACCATTATGATTATTATTGTTATTACGTTTTTTGAGGATTGTTCACACATTTAACTCTTCCATTAAAATACTGTTCTCTCTTACTTATTTGGCCGTAATTTATTTGAACTACACAAACACAACCACGACCAAACATACTAAGCTATCAAAATAAAAAAGCCCAATTCATTACCTTCCCTATAGCAGCAAACCTAAGTACTCATTAAAATTAATGTTATTTAAATAGGAAATAAATCTGCTGATTTTAGGGAATATTTTATTAAAAATCGAGCCAGATAAATGGAAATTCACTTAGTCTGCAGGTTTGCTGCGGAAGGGGTATTTTATTAATTTGAGAATTTCCTGCTTGGTACAATTTACCTCGTCAAGTACCGGCAATCCAAATTTTTTATGTCAGGTTAATAACCTGGCCTACATGTTTTGTCGTAAATGCGGCAATGTCGGGGTTACAAAAACGTATAAGACTTCAATGTCTCACACACACAACAATAGACCCAAAACAAACTGTTAACTAACATTGATAGGCCTATCACACGATGCGGTCCCGACACACGTATTAGACTGCAACTTTAGGTTCCTTTCATCTGTATTCGTCTATCCTGAAAATATTAATATGATGCTTTTTGCACTGCTAATTCTGTCAGTAGTTTTCAACCCTTTTAAATCTGTGGATTATTCACTGGTTCAGTTACACCTATTTTCATTTGTTTTCCTGTTCAATCTATATAATTAATACGCTACATGAAACTTTGTCGGTTGAACTCCTCCGCCATTTCTTAACCGATTTTATCCATTGACGTCTCATTGGAAAGAGCGTGTCGCGTAGATTTGCAAACTGGCCTTACATTTTTGACAAAGTCCCTTGGGCTCTGCCTCAGTGGCTGTTTAAAGTTTCCATGTTATCCTTATGAAGAACATAATTGTTTACATTTTGATCAGCTGTATAATTTATTTGATGTTATTTATTTTTCAATTCAACGTCTTTTAAACTCATTGGAAATTATGATGACTTTTATTTGTTTTTAAATAACTAGGCTACTTTACTTCTTTGCAATTGCTCGATTTCGAGCAACGTGTTTACTAGTATAGATTAAATGTGTACATGTCAGTCTTGTGTTTAGGTTAACTGCTTTTCACTCTTGTAAATTTAAAGGATCTTAGTATTTATCTAGTGTAAATTTGACAAATTTGTCCTTGTGAACAATAGTTATTGACTGAGTTGCGTTTCTTTCAGCGAGTAAAGCAGACCAATCTGTAATGGAGAAGGTGTTCGACCGAGGTGTGCTCCTGGTGAGCGCCTTAATGAATCTAGACGAACACTTTCTAGCCATCGTCGACTTTCACAGCCTCGGCTGCTACGAATACTTTCTGCACTTCATGAGCGAATCAAAGTTTAGCTTGAACAGCACAACACGTAAGTGGATGAGTTTTAAATAAAAATTGGAATACGTTAATTCTGTTTCTATTATTGTAATTTAACGTTTTTTTGTTGAAATTGTTTATTTTTTAAACTTTAACTTATTATTTTTACTTTGAGTTGCTGAGGATTGAGCGAAAAGGCACCCCTCGCTAAATGTGGATTGTGTGATTTTGCTGAAACGCAATTTAACACGTTCCCTACTTACTGTCACGTTCCTGTGAATCTGAGGGATGAGTATAGTTGGTAGCCAACGTTTTTAAATAAAACATTTCAGCTCATGTATGGAAGCTATTTTTTATCATATTTTTTCGTACAACATTGTCATTGCAAGTAAAGATGAGATTACTCCCCCCTCTTATAGTTCCATAAACCTACTTTTTCCAGTTTTTTATCAGCTTTATCATTATGAGTATTTATTTACTATTTCGTAAAAAAAAAGAACCAACTTTACTCTAAATTGTTTGTTAGTTTTATTTACTTTATCCAAATAACGCAATGATAAAGCTTACTTTCTTCCTTTACACTTTTTGGTTTTGCATGGCACAGATCTCATCCATCTCATATAGCGGGGATTACCTATGATTGCGTTCACTTCTTTAACAATTGAACCAATTTACAGCTGTGTGTTCGTTCCAGAGACCAAGCAATGTTTTCATAACAGCTAGAACAGTTTAATTTTTTATTTACTTACACTGATGCAATTGTGGCAATTCCACCAATTTTGATACCCCTGTCTAGTCTCATGCATATAAATTCCTCCCGTGCTGCAAAACTATAATGCTATGATATTAAGTTCATGTGATTTTTCAGGAGATACTCTGGAAGTTCTATGCAGCCAAGAAGAAGTGCTGAAACAACCTGGACATTCACCAACAAAAGAGGACCAAAATACTAGGTTAAAACAATCTCTCCGCTGCTTTATACAAGGAGATAGTGAAAAACCATGTTCAGTTGTTTTAGATGAAATTGATGATCTGTAAATATTAATGTTGGTTAATTTAAAATAGTTGGCGATCGCATCAGTATACGAAGTAGACTATTATGACTAGAGAGCAAGAGAGGTCAATGGGCCAAACCTTTTTACTTTGGGTCGGGTAGAAAATTATTTCCTGCACAAACTAATTGTCTCTAGCCAAATATCGGTACCCACAGATCCCTAATTATGACTATATGGCTAAAGCAGGATGGTTCTTGGATTACATTTGACAGAATGCTTATTAAACATGGAACTAACTAAATGGAATGCTGTCCTAACCATGAGTTTCATTTAACCGATGAAGGTAAACTTCATTACTATCACCTCTTAGATTATCCTAATCACGGATAGACCAATTTAGTTTAATAATATGTACTTTGAAATGATACTTAAACTTATGTTCCAAATATCTGTAATATCACTAGGGTTAAAATACTTGTTAGCTGTAACCGTTAACGATGAAAAAAAAATGCTTCCTAGTTAAGTTCATTTGATTGTGACAATCTGTAAAAAACTAAGAACTATAAAATTGTATATTTTGCAAGAGTTTTGTGTTTTAACTTTTTAATTTGATTGTTTAATATATTTTTTATTAATATTTGATGTCGTACATCTAAAACTTATTGAGGCTTAAAATCACTTTAACGCAGAATTATATTTATGTATTTATGATGCGAGATGCAATGTATGTTTTAGTTATGAGAGGATGGTTACTTATATGAAATGTTGCATGGCAACATATTTGTATAATTTATAACTTGTTATATCAGCCATTTAGGGTAGTGATGGACAAGGCTAGATTTTTTCACTTCGAGACGAGACAAGATTTTTTTAATTCCTGCGGGACGAGATTTAACGAAAAGTTATAAAAAAATTACTATCTACTTTTTAAGTTCAGAAATATTTACAAATTTTAAAAACTTGGCAAAAAATATACAAAAATATTTAAAATCTTTATTAAAAAACATTAATAAAAACATCAGTATATAAAAAAATATATTAATAAGGCCTAACTTATTAAAATAACTCTTCGGCATAGGAAGCATGGAGATATCAGTTGGTATACAATATAATTCAACTTTGAAAAATATCAAAAACAACAGTATTCCTTCTTACTAGTTAAGTATCAAGTAACAATTTTTAAGTCTTGTGGTATTTTTATAATGATTTTGGAGTGACTTATTTTGACTATGTTAACAGTAAAACATGTCTCACACTGCTTACACTAACAAAACGTTTCATCATTTGCTATGCAAAAAAAATTATAAAACAATAGAAGCAATATTTCCATGTAAAGAATAAATAATTAAACATAAACGCCTTCGCATAATTTTTTTAAATTTAAAATTTCAGCTTGCAATTATGTTTTGCAAAAATACTTCTCAAAGTTTTTTTCTTAATTTATAATTTTTTTATTTAAAATTTTTAATTTTTTTGATAAAATTTTATTTTTGAATTCCAATTTTTTTTTTAGTTTTAATTTCTAAAAAAAATTTATTTTTCTTATCTTGTTTTGAAAATATTCTGTTAGTATTTCAATCCTGCCCGAAGCTTTGAGATAAAAAAAATCTCGAAAAAATATTGAAGTTTCGGGTCTTGTCCATCACTAATTTGAGGTAATTTAACTTTTTGATTATTTCTCTGCTCAAAGCTTACTTAATATAAATCAATTTGGATCAATTCTCTGTAGAAATATTAAGAAAAAGAAGAATGAAAATGTGTGTATGTTACAATGGTTAGTAACAGAAATCTTATTTCATGTACAATCTAGCATATAAGTAAGGTAAGACTGTAAAACCAATCTTTTATTGGTTTTTTTAGGTAAATATGTCTACATCGGAATATGATCGTTACAATCTATTTATTTCCATACCTGTAAATCTGTAATATATTATTTGTTTGTACACAGTTTAATAACATTGTGACTATTGTTAATAATTCACAAAATCTGAGTTTTTATTTCCTCTCCTTATATGTTGCTGACTTTTACTACTTTGTTAAAGCCAAATTAATGACAAATGGCAACTATTTCAAGAGTTCCTAAAAAATTTTCTTTTCTTTTAACAACCTTAAAACTTGTATTTGATTACCCTTATCACTCATCCTGTGTTTTTTTTTATAATTTTCATTGTAAGTTCCTTAACTAAGTTAAACCACCTAATATCAATGGTGCGATGATTTGTTGGTGTGTCATCCATATGACACTATTTTTTTCTATATGAATATACTATATGTTTTACTACCATATAAGTAGTTTTTGCCCCCCTACTTTTCTCATGGTCAATCGCTGCCACTGTCAAAATCCAACTGAGTTTCTAGTAGAGTAACTCTACCCGTGTAAACACCCACTAGCGCCTAGTAGCTAGTATAGTAGATAGTGCAACATGTGGCATAGTAGCTCTACTCTACTTCCCCACCACTAGCAAAATTGTCACTCTCCTGCAAACTATACTTGTGTAAATGAGATCTGCGACAGTAGAGTTTTTAGTAGAGTGACACTGTCTTGTAACTGGTTTAGAACACTCATTTTGGGAATGGAGGCGGAACACACAGTTCATAAACTATCATCAACACTCTACTATGTGTGAACAGTCGCTTGCTTAAAATCGGTAGAGTGGACAAGAAAGTAGCTCTACCCGACGTGTAAACAGTCACTAGCGCCTAGTAGCTAGTATAGTAGATAGTAGGTGGTAGAGTAGAGTTACTAGCAACATGTGGCATAGTAGCTCTACTCTACTTCCCCCACTACTGCCCAAATTTTCACTTTCCTGCACACCATACCCGTGTAAACGTGATTAACTCAGTAGTAGGGTAGAGTTTCCAGTAGAGTGAAGCTGTTCTGAGCTCTTTTTGAGACTTGTATTGTTTACTTTCGTATGTGTTTGCGTGTTCCATGTGAATATTATTGTATTTGTATTTTCTTCCCAACAACGTTCATTTTGAGGAATTTAAAAAGCTATCACCAAACACGAACAGTGAGGCACACTATCATCAACACTACTGTTTGTGAACAGCCCGCTTCTGTAAATCGGTAGAGTGAACAAGATAGTGGCTCTACTAGAAACTCTACTCTACCCGTGTAAACCAGGCTTTTACAAGCATGTAATACTGGTCAGTATGGTTTAAAAGCACATTGTTTTGTGTGTTTTTTTGTAATTGTTTATGTCAGTTGTAAATGAATTGTGAAAAAATAAAGAAATTTTTGCTTCATTATATGATTGACCTCTAGGGCCAGTAAAATCTAGATTTCACATTATTTGGCGAGTTAGTATGCCGATTGATGCTTAATTCGTTTAATATACATAATATTTACCAGAAATACTTAAATACAATAAATATTGACTATTCACTCAGCTCCTCCTCATCACTAAAGTAAGAATCTTGTTTTATTCTCTTCCTCTTGACTGTTGGTGCTTCCACCTTGCTTTGATATTTTTGAGCTGCTTCTTGCTAAAGAAAAAAACACAGCAAGCTTAGTTATTTAATATTTTTGCAATTTGTATATTAAAAATACAAAAGAAGGTCAAATATATTTAAATTAGTGATTTTTTTACAATCAAGAATTTGACATTACTTTTTAGCAAAAGTTTTTAACATGATCATAGCTTGCGTTTACTGATCATTTTATTGTCTTTCTGACTTGTATATGGAAACAGAAACTCTCCAGGTTTTTACATGGTAAACTAATATAGATAATAAATCAGGACACGATTTCTAACACAGTAAAGTTTTTTACCAAAAAGAGTATATCTGTCACCTTTCAGAAAAGTTTTGTGTTTAAAAAGTGAACATGCTCAGGTCCTTCTACTCAATGCTATAGTGTGAAAATTACCAAGAAAGGATCGACAGACTCAATAAGGAACCTCAGAATTGCAATTACTTAACATTCTGGTTTAACAAGAGTATTAACAGAAACAGTTATCCCTACAGAACAGTGTGAATGAGGAAATTTATAGCTTACCTCCAGACTGATTGCTGCACTGAGAGTCTCCAAGTCTGGCTCTACCTGTTCTTCTTCTTCTCCATCTGTGTCACATGTCGTACTAACAGGCCGCCCTCTCCAGTCCTCGTCACTGTCGTAAGCCGAGTAGTCTCTCTGAACAAAAGCACATCCTCATATCATAATTAGGCCCCTATTGAAATCAAACACAATCTTCTTTGCTGGAAAGATATTGTGTTTTCCCTACGTGGCAAAGCTTAAACGTACTGGGCAGGGTGGGTTAAAATAAAAGTATAGAGAACCAATCCTAAAATCAATTAATTCGTTCAAACTCAAATCTTTATTTGGCCCTGTAAGAATTTACCAAAGGCTATGTCATTCCTTCAGTGTTAAAAATGGAAGAAAAAAAACTTAACCTAAAATATACAACAACATTACACTAGTTAAGAACACTGGCTGTTACTGATAACCAAATGCAGTATAAAATAACAACTGCAGCACTATGACAAAAAATTTGTTGAAGATTTTACATCACTGTCTAGTGTCCTTGATGAATCGCCTATGGTGTTTACCAATTATCTGTAAACTCTGCTGAATTTGCCCTTAAACTTACACATACACCAATGCCAGATTACTGCTGAATGTGCCATTAGTGGGGTTTGACTGTACACATACAACAACAAGAATGTTGGTAATCAAATACCAATAACAAAACTTTCCTTGGAATTACGTCTCGGTAATTGATTTGGAACTTACAGAATGCTGGAGAACAATAACCTTGTCCTTCAATCCATCCAGTTTTTACATTTTCCATTACAATGATCCAATTTTTTTTGGAGAAATCAATCTAAGCTGAATGAAATACAATCTGCTCACCTGATCATCCTCTTTTTTCTTGCGTTTTCTCTCTCTCTTTGGTGGAGGTTGGCGCTCTCCGAGAGCATTGGCAGGACAAGCATAACTTAGGTGTCCTTCCTCCCCACACTCGTAACATCTTGATTTGTCCAAATACTGCCGTTTCTTTATGAACTCGGTGCTGCGTCCGTTGTCTTTGGCTATGCTGCTCTTCAGAGTTCTACCGAACATCTGGAAAACGAATCAAGTTGTTACAGCCAAATAGTGGGATATAGTGGTAGAGAAATTAGCCGAAAGAGAAGAGTTGGAAAACCATAAAAGGAATTAAGAGACATCATAAAAGAGGATTTTATATGGAAAGGATAACATTGATAGCTAGTGGAAGTGAAGACCTTAGCCAAAAAAACTATGGAAGAGTCTTTTCAGCACCCCTTGGAGCCTGGAATTCCTTAATCAAAGATAATGACTAAAATGAAATATAATTTACTTTATTTAAAAGTCATAATGGTTAATTATAGAAATATAATTGTTTAAACTAACTAGATACCGGTACCTAAAAAAAGTCAAGACACCTAAGTCTTACCATGTTGACTGAGGTAATAGCTCACTTTTTCCACAGGAAAATTGCTTTAGGCTCAACATTGTCAATTATCGCTCAGCTTAACTCAGCACGCTCTTCTAGTATTTTTGGTACTATCCATCTCATCAGTCAGTGGTGTAGTGGAGCGGAAACACAAGGACACACACAGGTGTTCCCGCTCTGCTCGTTTCCAAGAATTCTATATTTTAATCCTATATGTTCCGTCAGTTTTTGACAACGGTGAGCGTACTGAAACATTTAGGACTACACCACTGTCATATTAGAAGTAGGTACACTGTACTTTGAACTTTACTTGTCTTGAAAAATTATTTCCATTTATTGCCAAGGAGTTAATTTTAATGCTTACAATCAACCTGATGAATTACTTGTGAAACATCAGTCTAAATTGAATTACCTCTTGTCCATTAACACTACTTGCGCACTTCCAGGCATCTTCTTTGTTTAAAAAGAATACGAATGCAACACCTTTACTCTTCCTTGTTATTTTATCCTTAACAATCGTCACTCTGCAAAGAATCAAATAATTTATACAATAAAAGATAACATTTTTGTAATTATTTATTTTTTAAATAAAAATATATGGTGTTGATACAAGACATGTTGCTAATATTCTTGCGTTGTTGAATTCAAGATTTACAACAGTTGTTCATGGTGGTGTTTTTTTCGGCGTCAACCGTGTCGTCACTAATATCTATACTTATAAAAGGCAAAGCCCTCACTGACACACTCACTCACTCACTCATCACTAATTCTCCCACTTCCCATATACCTAGGAGACTGAAATTCGGTACACCGATTCTTTGGGCATTAAATAAGATAACCAAGTAGTTTTTATTCTGATCGGGCATTCGGGCTCCGCCCCAGTGGCTCTGGAGTTTCCCATGTTAACCTTATGATTTGTCATATTTAAAAGGAATTAATGAATCTTAACAGCTGTTTCAATTAAACAAGTTGGTTCTGTCCTATGATGTTCAATAGCATTAAATTTACAAGGATTACCAACAGGGTACCTCACTATTTTTTTTGTTTTTTTTTAATTTATGACAACAGCTAATTTGCAACCAAAAGGTGAGTGAGCGTAGCGAACGGACTTCAACCAGGACGTGATTGAGCCATGCGACCGAGCTCATCTTGAAAATTAAGAAGTTAAACGGGACAAAGCCCGCGGGTACAGCTAGTACTGTATATACTAATATAGGCCTACTAAAAATTCTATCGATAAATGTAAAAAACAAGTGGTAGGCCTGCTCACATATTATTTCTATTACACTTAAAATTAATTCACAATACAACTTACGTTAGATTACGGCTAAACGTGACGGCCTACAGTTTGTTATATTGGGTGAAAGTACCCCAATTTGGCTTTTTCATCCACCTGCTAAAGATAATTTGTTGTTTATAAAACCAAAAAAAGAAAAATTAAAAATTAAAAAAAAAAATTCAAAAGGAAGATCTTCAGGGTAACAAAAGGAAGATCTTTAACTTTTTAGGATGTCCATGGCATATCTGATTTAAATTCTATATACATCGCTCGCCATGCTTCCTTTACATACAACGGCATAGCTATGGTATGCTTTTCACAGCTTTAGCTAATTCTTCCCTAAGGGAATGGAGGGTTTTTCATTGGTGGCACAACAACATGGCCTACAGATAGTCTATGTGACCATTTTTTTTTTGGTCCCATAGGAGAAAAAAAAATATTGTAGTTAAAATTTTCTTATGTATGTTAATGCAAAATTTGGTATAAGATTTCAGCTAAAACACCATACTTCATTACCTTCCATATAGAAGACAATTTAGGTGTTTGTTAAACCAAATGTTTTTACAGCCTATTAAAAAATCCGACAAGTTAAATGAAATCTTTTGTAAAAATTTAAACATGCAAATGGAAGATGGTTTGCTGCGGCTGGGGTATTGTTCCGCATCACTTGCCTTCAAACCAGACCAAAATATAATTCCTGACCAAACTAATCGAAAGTGCGTTTGGCACTTTGAAGGCCTATTTTGTTTCATCCATTGTGAAAACAACAAACTTAACTTACTAAGTTTTAACAAGATTAGGTAACGGTACTACATAATCAACCACACTCAACCACTGATGGACGCAGACTGTCATAACTACTGATTTATGTCCGGGCAAAATCAGCCTGTCCCGCACAAGTGTGAAAGCTTACATAAGAGCTAATGTTCTAAAAACTAGCTTCCGGCCCGGTCCCCCATTGGAAGTTTAGGTTCGTCTGAGTGATTTTACAACCCGGACAGAGGTTTAGGTCCTTCCAAGCGAACCCACACTGATGGGAAAGCTCTCAAATGATTATACATTCTAAATAGCTTCGTACGGTGTGGGATGGTGTGAAAGAGGGCTTAGGCCTAGCGTTATTTGCAAAATAATAGAGCAAGATAGCAAATCCTACATTCTTACTTTAAGCTATTAAAGAAAATGCTGGTTATATGGAATAGGTACCTTTCTAAAAATATTTACAAGAATATTGTGACACATATTTGCTTTTAATTAACTTACCGTAATGGTTTTTCAAACCAACTGTTATTTTTTTCTTTTTTTAAGGAACAGTCCACACTCTGGTCTTGTTAAGTAACTGTCTAATAGGCCTAATTTACTGCCTTTTCGTTTAATGGCATAACAAAGTCATGGCCTATTTAAGATAAGTTGCATCCGAGTACAGAGTTTATCTTGCTTGGAAACCTGGTGAGCAGTAGAGCTATAAACTAAGTGGCTATAGGTCGGCCAGTTAGAAAACGACCTGCGCGAAAATTAGGAGGAGGAGGTAACAGCGAGGGAGGGTATGTTCCCCCTCTCCGCCAATGGCCGTTTTCACACTGCACGACACAACACCGGCACGGCGCCGCCCCGGTGTCGTGGAAGTTGGAATCCTGTGTTACCAAATGGAACTGCTTAGACAATGATATAATAACATTTCATGTTTTTTAAATATATTGATGCGATTTAGGCTACCTATACAATATTTTTTGCAGGACCTATTTTTTTCAAGTTATGAAGAACGTAATTGTTTACATTTTGATTAGCTGTACAATTTAATTTGATTAGCTGTGTTCGAGAAGGTTGGGGGTAGGGCGGCAGTGGAGTGGGGGAAGAGCCATAGTCTGTCTCACTCCCACAGCTCGGTATCTCTCTCTCGCACTAATGCTACGAGGAGGACGCTTTCTAACCGGCCGACCTATAACCAGACAATCTGAATGATAAAGACAAATTGTTTAGTTATATAAGTTATACTAGTCACTAAACTGAGTTTACTTCTTTAGCCAATGCCATTCATCAATTCGAAGCATAATGATCGATGACCAATGGGAATACAGCCATCAACATCTTTGACTTTTCCCAGGAGTCAAATCAAATTAGTAAAGACCAGTTAGAATTAAAAAGTTAAAAACTAGGCCTAAAAGAAATCTGTTTAAACTTCAGAAATTAGGTACAAAATGTGTAGACTAAGTTATGTCTACTTAGGTTATATGGTCATATTACTTATGAACATCTACTTACTTGACTACTTTCCCAAATTTTGCAAACACCTTGTGAAGATCATTGTTGGTAAGAGAATATGGCAAATTAGATACATATACTGTGCTTTTACTTGGCACCAACCCATGGCTCATTTTTAATGGTAAAGGTACCTTGAAGGCCTTTTTTGTTATCCAACTGAGATATGTGTTAACATAAATCCACTGGTATTGGTAATAACCCAATAACCGAATCTACGTATGATGTTCGATGGTCTAGAATATCAACGTTTCGCCATAAATTTAAATAAAACCTTGCAGATGGTAGTTGGTCCTGAAAAGTTCGAAGTTTAAACTCAGAAACAAATACAAACAAACAAACCAAACCTCAAAGTAAATAAATGTGACAGCAGAGAGCAGACGTACAAAATCCAATGCTGTCTGCTTTCTTTATTGTTTGGTTTACAGGCTGATCTTAAAGTCATGAAGCTTTATATCGTACTTAGCCTCAAAACATTGTCAAAAAACTCTGAAAAGGTATTATTAAAAATTCTTATTAAATTAGTATTATCATAGATAAAACATACTCCCTTAGTAGATTTGTCATCCTTATGGAACAGCTGAAGCCAATTTTATTGTTAGTTCTGTACGTCCAACTGTAGAGGTTATGTTTTGTTTACAATTTGTTTATTGATATTTCAGTAATTTAACACATCATTTAACCAAATAAAACGGCATAATCATATACAATAACTGGTCTTCTAGTCATATAACCAAATAGTAAAGCACAAATCATGAATATAACCCTTAAATAATAGAAACACAATTTTGTCTACACTAGCGATCTGTGTGGACGTACATGAACTAGACACAAAAAACAAGCTTCAAAATGTACAATGGGATGAGGAGTCTACTTGTGTTGATTAGTCTATGGTATTATTAAAATTATTATTAAAAATAGTATTATGAAAAGGAACTAATGTGTCATACATGTTACATCGGCACTCCACAGTCGTGGAGACCGGATAGTCGTCAGTTTTGCATGTTTATTATAAAATGTATAATGACGAAATGAAATGTCTTTATTTGCTTAAACTTAAATATAGCCACATGAAAATCCTACTTGTATGATCCCTTGATCCCATGTCAATTGAATAACCAAGAAGTGACTGACAGATATACATTTCATTGTTAGTGAGTCGGTGGCTCAGTCGGTAGCGTCACGGACTTCGGGCCCAAGGCAGCGATGTCGTGGGTTCGGATCCTGGTCACTGCCGCTAAAATTTATCAGTACAGTTCACCTTTGTACTGTACCGGCTTACTCCTTGCTATGCTGTAAACGATCCACGCACGGGCGCTTAGTCTATGTGGACGGGCAAATGCAAGGTTAAAAAAAGCCGCCAACATCTTAAAAAAAAAAAATTGTTTTATCAAAAGACATACGTACAGTATATTTTGATATAGAATATCAACAATATGAAAATGTGGAAATTGACGATTAAGACTCTTTTATACGCCTTGATTTAGACTGTCCTTCCTTCTATTCCGTTGGCTTTGACATTTCTGTATTTATCCCGCCAAATTTCGTTCTGTCCGACTGTCACTATCACATGAAACTGAAAAGAAAAATGAAAGCAATCTGCTAGCCATCATGACATGAGATGAATGAAAGAAAGGCCTGCCTCCTGCCCCTGCCTGCCTAAGTTTTTCTTTCACTACCCTAGCCCTAGCCCTAGATCCGTGTTGTGTTGTGTTAGTAAATCTATGTGCCAGGACATTTGCCTACTTATTATTATTTATTACGTGTACAATATCATTGAGAAACGGCTGCAAGTAAGTTTAATGACATTTTATTTTCAGCTTTAGTTTTGTCGTTTTAGTTACCTAAATCTAAAAAGTTCACCAAACCATCTGTTGTTTACAGGACTAGGCCTACGAATTTGCAACCTAGCCTAGCTTAAAGTACGCCTCTAGGCTTATTCGTTGTAAAATTACGTGGTAAACTGCTTAGTGCTTATATGAAAATTTACATAGGCTACCTTTATCCCTACTAACTTTTATTTTTAATGTTTCTTTAACTTGGTTAGGTATACCTATGGTTACCGTACATTTCTAACACATCTCTTTTTCTAAATTCATAATGTTGATAATCAGGCCTAGAAAGGCTAAGGACAATTAACTTGGTAATTATAACAAGCTTTTAAGATTTTAAAAATTAAGAATTTAAATATAGGCCTACCATAACAGGCTTATTTTATTGGAAATCGGGGCGCAAAACAAATTCAAAGGCCAAGTTACTGTCCATCTCCTAAAAAATTACCCCTCTCTTTTACGTAACTTAATTACAGCAATGATACAGTTGAGCAATATTTTACCCTGACGTTGTCGTCTAAGTCAATGTTGATACAAATTTGTAGGCCTATCTAGGCTAATATGCCTAAGTTAACACGTTCGCTGCTGACGACTCCGATCGGAGTCATGCTGTTCTGGCACAGAGTGCGTAAGTTACGACTCCAGTCAGAGTAACAGTGCAGTGTTATATAAGTTGGTCTATTGTGACCTCCATGCATTTAATCGGGGATCAACTAAACTAAGTTTATATCAGCATGTTGTGGGCTACTGGTACTTTAATTTGGTGTAGGTTGGGTTTAGGTTGGTAGTACAATTTCCTGTAAAATCCCGTCTGGCAACGCTTTTTGTCCCGTTTTCAGGGATTTTCTCTCTTCGAGCCACATTACATAGACACTGGCTTCGGATCCAGGCAGTGCTGCTATCTGTGAGTTTTTCAGCGAACTACGTCCACTCTCAGGGTAACACAGCACCATCCACCACCGCTGTTTTGCTGTTGTCAAGACTGGAAAATATTTTAATGCTACTGCGTTCGCTGATTCACTGGTGCGCCGAGGCTGCGTCGCATTTCCGACCGTACTACCGAAGGGATTCTCGCTTCCAGGAGTCATTATGGATTATATGATGTGATTTTCACTTCAAAACGTTGTGTAGTGAGCTGTACGTTTAAATTATAAGGTGTGCCCCAGGGCTCCATCTTAGGCCCTACACTTTTTCTCCTGTTTATTAACGACCTTCCCATGGGTGTTAAATCGGCTAGGACCATTCTTTATGCCAACAATACATCTCTTTCCTTGTCCAGCCCTGATGTAGAGACTCTTGAGCAATTGACATTCTCTGAAGCCAACAAGCTAGTTCAGTGGTTTGAGAATAATCTGCTTTCAATAAACTCTTCTAAGTATTTTAGTTTTCACTTGGATGAAGTTCCAGTACACCCAATAGAGAAGACACGGTTTCTTGGGCTGATCTTAGATGAGAAGATTAATTTCCATGACCACATTCAATACATCATCATTAGGGTAAGTTCAGGGATATTTGCCATCCGCACCCTTGCAAAGCTATCTAAGCCCGATGTCCTTCTTTCTGCTTATTACGGTCTCATCTTCCCTCATCTCGTGTACGCCTTGCCCATCTGGGGGTGTGAGAACAAAAGAACTCTGTTTTTATTCCGCCTTCAAAAGAGGGCAATCAGAGCCATCTTTTCAATGAATAGATGTCAGACTTGTAAACCAGTTTTTCTATCATCCGAAATATTAACGTCCCCATGTCTCTACATCTAGCAGACATTATCCTTTCTGCACCAAAACACTGGCAAGTTTAACACTCCAACAGACCATCATTATAGTTTGAGATCCACAAATACCCTCCCAGTTCCTAGACACCACACTTCCTTCTTTCAAAACCATCTCCGATATAATGCAATAAAAATGTTCAACCATCTTCCCTCTCACCTCAAAGCAGTAGGTATCAAACCATCTAAAATTTAAAAAAACCCTAAAATCTTTTCTTGGTTAAATAAATGACTTATTGACTTATAAGCACCCTAATTGCCGTACAGCAACTTAGTTTATAGTCAAATATTTTTTTTTTAAACTAATATTTAACTTAGGCCTAAGTTAACAAATTGTTGTTATAGGCCAATCAACTTAGCTGAAAATGGACGAGGCATCAAAGAGGAAATACCTAAAGAGCAAATATAAAGTAAAGAAATGGGAGAGTGAGTTTAAGCAATCTAATGGAACAGTTCCGTCCAAGGTAAGTCCTAACTTAGTGGCAAGTCTTGTTTTTTTTAAGCTATCTAAGCCCATCTTTTACTTTTTTTTTTCAGAAAAATACTTTATTGTTTCAGACACATTACACAAAACAAAATGCCCATACCCATCTACTTGATACAATATATTCCGATTTTGTCAGTCACCAATGTAGAATCCAAGTATCTATCAAGTTCTTGTTAAATGGCTATTACAAGTTGGTGATCATTGATCAAAATCGAGCATAGGTAGGCCTACATTTTGTCTGTGTAGTTTGAGTGCAGAATATGTTTAGGCCTAAGTCTCAAAGTTTTTATATTTACCGATTACGGGATTACGATATAGACATATCGGGTTCAAACCTAGTAAATGTGTCGTGACATTTTTAATCATTATTTGTAGTCATTCTTTTATTGTGGAATGGATAAAAGCCAATGTATTTCAACATTCCAAGTTACATTTGGATAAACACACTAATAACTTACAGGGGACACAATAATTTGAAATGTTTGGATCTTTTGTAAAAGTTTTAACATTCATAGGCCTAGATGTTTACTGAAATAAACTACACTTATAAGCTATTTGATCTTACAAAAATATTTAAATTATAATATCAATGTATTTGTTACAGACTGACATCAAGAATGCACCATCACACATAAAGGAAGCCTACAAAACCTATTGGAAACTAAAAACTATATCTTTAGAAACAAGTTTAGTTGATGTGAGTTTTGGAGATGAAGATACTATGGATGGATTTTCATTTTCTTCTATTAGTTGTTCACAAGGCGGCACAGATGCGGGAATAAACAACCTTGAAGATTCAACTCTAGGGTTCGATACTTCACTAAATAACAAAATCACACCAAGTGATCAAGCTGAGGAGACAAGATGTGAAAATATTACTACTGCGATCTCTTCCACAATACCCGTTAATGAAACAACAACTAATTCTGTAATAAGTAACGATAAAATTCAAAGTACAGAAGAAAATAAAAATAGTAAAAATGAAGATTCAGTTTGGGGTCCACATTTAAGTATTGCAAAAAAGGAAGTTGAACCAAAGAAACCTAAAATTGACAAACCGGCTGTACTTTCTCGTTTTACAGCTAAACTATTCGCCGGTGCAAATTTTAAGATTAGAAACCCCAGAAAGTCCTTTATACGTAGAGAAAAATCTACCAGTGATGTACCAAGTGATAATTCTTTGATAGATAATTCAGTATTAACCGATGCAAACCAAAGTTTCTCCCAACCTGAGGTATCACTGAATAGTGGTGACACAAGTGTTCAAGAGGGGAAAGACACGCCTGCTCCCATCGAGGACCAAAACTCACAGTTTTTAGATTCGAATAATAGTAAATTTAAAATAGTTAATACTTCATCATCCCAAAAGCAGTGCCAACCTGTTAGTATCCTTCAGAAAACATTACTATCCAACATGTCAAAGCCACTTGCAAATCGATCAGTTGATAAAGGTTGGTTGGATCGGCTAGAAAAAATGTCCAGCTCAGAAGTTCCGAACTCTAGTGACTCTGGTATTGATCTAGGAGACTCTAGTGTAGTGAGTGGAGATCCTCGATCGTCTCCCGCGCCGACTAGTCAAGACAGTGATGACGATGTAGTCTGTGATAGTGATTCAGAAGATGACAAGAGTAGATCATTTTCCTCTTTTACAAGATTCTGTAGAACTTCTTCAGTTAGTAGGTTATCATTGAACACATCAAATAGTGATCTCAAAAGGACCAGTTCTAGTTTAAGTTATTTTACTCGTGTCAATTCTGATTCTAAAATATTACAGTTGGACAAGAGGGATATCAAGCAAACCGACGGTGAGATTGAGGTTAGTGAATGTAAAAAGCTAAAAATGGATTGCTCTGTGGTTGGAGATACAGTTACGGGTAAGGATGTATTTGTAGCGACAGATATTCCTGCTAAAGAAATACTAAGTAAAGAGGATCGTATAATGCATCGGATGGCTCAATTAGTAGAAATTCAAAATAAGTTGTCAAAGCCTAAAAAGGATTCTACCCCCAAATCTAAAGAAGAGAAGCAAAAGGAAATTTTTGAAAAGAAAATCACTTCTGGAAAAGCCAACGAGAACTTTGTCAAGATAAACATAAAAAAGAAAACTTATGTTCGTGGTAAAAAAACCATGACTTTCCAAAAGTACAAGAAACAAAAGTGGAAGGATATGAAAAAATCCTCAAGTTACGGGGGTGAAGGAAGTAGTGTATATAAATGTTTTAAATGTGGCGACATCGGCCACTACGCCAAGAATTGTATGAAAGGTAAGGAAACATGTAATAGGTACCATAGCCTGTAACTATACTTTGTAGGGATGGAAGTTACTGACATTTTACCATAACATAATATCACATGAACATGCTAGTTTGGTATTAGGTTATTCTTACCTGTATCTTATACTGATGCCTATTCTACTGATTGATTAAAAACTTCAATTATTCAGTAATGGAAAAAGTAGTTTTTACTGGTTCTAATCGCATACTGGTAAAAATGTACGTTTTCCTCATAGGGTTATTAGGTAGTACTGCCAGTACCAACTTAATCGAGTGGAGCAAGCATCAGAATTTATTATGTGAGGACTTTTTATAATATTTCTGAAATATTACTTTCAAAACGAAACAAATGACTTTCTCTTATCAAGCATTTTACACGACTTTAATTCATATCTGAGACCAAGGTCTTTCTTACTTCACTACCATTCTATCTGGTACCAACCTCTATAGGTCCATTAGTCTGGTCATAGTTTAGCAAAAATTGTATGAAAGACAATTGACGTTCCCACCAAGTGATAATGTTGCCAGTAGACAGATACGCGTGCAGAAAAGTGGCTCGACATTAAAAATGTGCATTAGTGATTGAAGAAGTGTGTAGAATCTCGTAAAATATAAATTTTTGCACAACGGGGGCCAATACTGTAGGCAGAAGGTGTTCACCAGCTTCCAAGGTGACACTGATTGAATTTGAGGAAACTTTGCTTGCAGAGCATGTTTCAGATTTCCAGGGCTGGCCGTGGTCCTTGATAGTCTCGTAAGGACTTCGCCTATTAGTTTGATAATCTCTTGTTCAGTCACCATGATCTGCATTAAAATTTGTTTAACTTTGGTCAAATAAGGCTGATAAACAACAGCAGTTGGCCTACTATGGAAAACATCATGCAAATGTTTTAGATTACCTAGACTCTTTCTAACTATTAACCATTTTATAACCAAATCTAGTGTTTTTCTTGTAAACATAAAAAATAAGTTAAATGTTTGTATTTTATTCAGCTTGTGACCAACTTCTTCCTCTAGAAGATGTAGAAGAACAAGAAGAAAGTCCATTTCCGACCCTCCAAGAAGCGGAGGAAATGGCACTTGAGGCTTCCAAAAAGCTTGTGGTCAAACGTTTTGCAAACGAACTACCAGCCAATGTGAGTACTGTTTTTTCATTCATACAAAGAATTTTGTACCAAAAAAAAATGTATTTAAGGATTAATGATACAATAAACTATCAGGACAGGCCAAGAACTTACCAGCCATGTACTTAGCCATGTTACTTAGTACCATGTACTTGTACGGCAGCCTATTTTTATTTTAGTGTTTTTTTCCCAGATTGTAAGTGAAAATGCAGACCTGTGTTTGGCTCCTCCGCAACCAGTGAACTCTGACGACATAGAGAGACTTCTGACCAAACAGGAGCCGATATTCAACCTGAGTGAAGATGGCTCAGTCATTGGTAAGTTGTTTGTTGTTGGCTGGGTTTTAAGTTGCTTCTAGCATAAAATAAGACTAGGCCTATACATTCTCAAATGATGTGGATTAGGCATATATAACATTTTTAAGTCAGGGTTGCTATTGAAATTGGGAAATGCTGAAATACTAGCTAACAACCAAAATGTTACTTGACTTGGGCTACTTTTGTGACTTTCATGTAATACAAAAATATGGATGATAAAATTATGAATAACATAAAGGTTCAATGTTTTTCAAGAAAATGCAGACCACCTTAACCAAAATATTATAACTTTATGTACGACACCATATAGATTTTTTACGTCCCACCTTCAAATCCTAGGATGCTAGGTTCTAGCCTGGAAATGTTTTCATACTCTGGACTAAGCCTAGAGGGTCACAGCATCATAAATTTATAAATTACCATTAACATCATAATCATTTTATAAAATAATTTATGAGGGTCACTTAGATAAAATAAAAATTTATTTGTGATTGGCAGGATTAGAACCCAAGACCTCGGGGACAAAGTCCCACGCTCTACAACTAGACCAGCTCGCTCCCCACACCATGTAGATTAGAAATATGAAGCCGACACACAGAGGGTATTTTAAGGCAAATATGAGAGAAAGACTAAGTTTGGCCACCAGACATGGAGGCCGGGACAAGAGGCCGCAGTGAGAGTGTGTTGTTACATATACAGAGTTTGTGTCGTTGTAGACACTCCACTGGCGGTGCTTGATGCCCTATTACAGTTTGGCCACCAGACGTGGAGGCCGGGACAAGAGGCCGCTGTGAGAAACTGTGAGAGTGTGTTGTTACATATACAGAGTTTGTGTTGTTGTAGACACTCCACTGGCGGTGCTTGACGCCCTATTACAGTTTGGCCACCAGACGTGGAGGCCGGGACAAGAGGCCGCTGTGATGAGAGTAATGTCCGGCCTCAGTACGCTAGTGACTCTGTCTACAGGATCTGGCAAGTCACTTTGTTACCAGCTGCCTGCGTTTCTCTACCACAAAATGCAAGGTAGAATCACTCTGGTCGTCTCTCCGTTGGTGTCCTTGATGGAGGATCAGGTAGCTTAATGGATCAAACTTTGTGATTAATCTGTATGTTATGGAAACTTGAAATAAGAGACTGAGTCTTAATGTTGCATGACTGGTTATTGTGATTTTTCACCCTGTTTTAGGAGAAAAATATCTTGAGTGATTAATTCATGGAGGAAGTTTTTAACTAAAATAACTTTACTTTTTTAATTATTTTTTTAGGACTTTGGGCTCTCGTCCGGATTTGTTTTCCATATAAGTTCAGACCTAGGGGTTGCAGTGTTATCACTTAAACAAATTCCATTGGTGATTTGGTGAGATTTGAACCCGGGACCGAAGTCCCTTGCTCTACAACTATACCAGCTCGCTCCCCAACTGGGTTACTTTACATTAAAACGATCATTCAAAGTTAGAATAGATTAAAATGAGTTGGTAAGCCTTAAATCATTATCATCAATTGAGATGGGGAACTGAAGTGAAGGATGAGCCTAAGTTCTTTAAAAAGTTGTATTATACTGGCCTAAGAGCATATTTTGTGGCATATTAAAGGATCTTATAGCTTGCACTAGCATTAACCATTATCAATGTCTATTACTAATTATTTATCTTTATATTTTAATCCTTAACTACACAGATTGGTTATGTTAACTCGTGTAGAAATATGCATCGACACTACCATAGAAACAAGAAGTGTCGGCAAAGAACAATCCCTAATCATATGATTCATATGTAACTCTTCACTAAGACCAAATTAACTAATTCTGTGTCAATCCCAATTTAAATTCTATTACTTTTACCTATTACCCCGATTCTTATACCAAATAAGGTAGCAATGCTGGGACGCAATTGTGTGCGTTACAACCCAATTATGAGCGTAAAATAGAGGGGGAACGCCATGCGTAGCTTTATTACTGACTGAGATCACTTGTATCTTTGACCAGGATCAATTCCCCCCCTCCCCCCACTATTGTAATATGAGCCATTGAGCAAAGTTCACTGCTTCCTTTGAACAGTAAGATTTTGTCCCAACTGTCACAGGATAAGACTTCTGCAGATAGTAGGTTAAAGAGGGAAATGATGGTAGTTGTCCAGTAGTTGGCTTTTATTGTGAACCTATTAACCCATGGACTCGTAATTTTCTGAAATCTAATCCCTTAAAATGCACAATCTACAAAAACGTTTGTTATTCAATTGCTTATGTTGTATGAACCACTGATGTTTTGCGCCAGGTGGTGTGCGGCTCGCCCTGTCTACGAGTGGCGTGTCTCCACACAGCGCAGACACCCGCAGTACGCAACGCTGTTATGGACCAGTTACGCAGCAACAGCCTGCATGCCCTGCTGGTGTCCCCGGAGGCGTTGTCGCAGGGAGATCGCATCAGTGAGCTGCTACGTTGTATGCCGCCCGTCGCTTTCGCTTGTATCGACGAGGCTCACTGCATCTCACAGTGGAGTCATAACTTCAGACCGTCGTATCTCACACTTTGCCAGGTACGTAATGGAATGAGATGAGATTATTTTTGTAGGTACTGTAATAATGTTAAAACTTACTCTTGTAATTTGTAATACGAGTAACAAGAATTTTGGCTTTTCTATAGCAAGTTCAATATAATATTGGAATAGAGTCAACTTTATTATGACAATCTAGGAGGAAAGTTTTTATTATTCTCTATTTGTATTTATTTAGGGTTCCACAAGTTCTTAAGACTGAGCCGTGTATTTTGTCAACCAGAATTTCCCCGCTAAACCTTAAGAATAGGGATGGGGCGATTCCTCAAAACAAGCTTGATAATTCATGACTTATTTGTTTGTTTGAGATTTTTGCCTAGAATCATCAGTCACGTAGAAGCATCGGTCCACCCATGCTTATGATTCAATACTGATTCTAAATCTGCGATTGAGGTGAAATTGTGATCATCTATCAAGTTTGTGGTAACATCACGATAATATACAGTAATAAAGATTGGCTCTTAGTTCTGAAATGTTATCTTCAATGTTCTTCACACATTCAATGAATTCAGTTCCAATAAGTTATCGTTTCAATAAGTCAGTTAAGGAAGTGTTTCTTACAATAAAAAATCAAATAATATACAATTTAGTCACCGTATCAAAAAACTTAGGTTAACAGCTGTCGGCTGTAAACATTGTATGGTATTGGTTAGAATACTCTTCAGCGTGTCTTCAACATTTTCTTCTGTAAACCTTTAGGACTCTTACTAATCTAAATACTGTTTTAGCATCTACAATGCTGAAAAACTGCATACAACCTCCTTTGGCATTTATCTCCTAAACTAAACACATACCAAATTGGGAAAGGTAGAAGTTCAAACTGAGGGCGCACACAAAAACAAGTACCTACACTAATGGTCAGCTCTGTGATAATGCCGTGACCCTCTAGTACCCTGAAATGATTTTTATACCTCTATCTAGAGTCTTAAGGTGTAAAGGAAGGACAAATTTAATGAAGTGTGATTCAAGGTGTTGAGAGAGAAATTTGGAGTGAAGACGTTCCTTGGACTAACAGCGACGGCGACTCACGCAACCATCACAAGTGTGTGTGAGGCTCTGGAACTGACTGACATCACAAACGGTGTTATACGAGACACTCCTCTGCCGAATAACCTGCAACTGACTGTGTCACGGGATAGGCAAAGGTATGCTTGACCTGGTTTGCTAAAGTTTTCAATATTAGCTAGTAAGTTGACAGTCAGAAAGGTATCCAAAAAGTCATAACCATGTGTTTTTGCAGTGTTTATCGATATTGCACGAATTGGTTGTGTTCAACCACTTTTCAACTGAATTTATAGAAAACCCTACACTCTTGATTGATCTAGGCCTGGATCATTCTTCTCCAATGCTTTTATTTTTCTCATTCTCAATCTTTTGTAACATAAGTGCCTCGTTCTTGGGTTAAGTCTATTGTATTAAGCTGCAGCAATATTAATGTACAGTAGTGAATTATTAGGGATAGCTTACTGTAGAAAGAGTTCAGGTAAACACAACAGACCAAAGGCACAGTATACACATGTCCAACTCTTTGCATTTGATAAAGTCCTCCAGGGGACAAACTATTTTATGTCTCCTGTGACTCCTGGCTTTTGTGTGAACTATAGCCAACACCTATCTAGACTTTTTCAAACCTACCTGTAAAATCCCTTCTCTAAAAATCAAATGACTTAAAGCCTTTCCATTCCTTAAACAAAATTAACCATGAGGACTAAAAGGAAAGGTTAGTAGCTAGCTTACCATGGAAAACACAGAAGACTGTATTTATGTGTCTTCTTTGTGTTCTCTGGCCTACCTGCAACTTCTAAGGTAATCAGCTGCTATCCGTTTATTCTACAAATCACAGTCGCCTAGAGGCTTGAACACATAACTAATCATATGAGGAGTAAGTTGATAAAAATCTTAATGATGTTGATTGATTGAGTCTGCAGACCCTAACGTCAGTCACATGTGGACCTTTTGCCATTGTTTGGTGCCCCAGAGCCAGTCGAATCTGAGATGCTTGATGAACTGCAGCATCCTGTCTATTAACTGTGTTATATTTTGACAGGGACCAGGCATTGGTAGCTCTGTTGCAAGGAGAGAGGTTCAGTCAGTGTAGATCTATCATTGTCTACTGCACAAGAAGAGACGAGTGTCAGCGTCTGGCTGCCTACATCAGGACAAGTTTACAGGTAAACCAGCATCAATAGATCACTCTACCGAAGAACTCCAAGAAATAGTTGGACAACTATCCGGATTGTCGCTCAGAATTGGTTATGGTTACTGTCCTAAAAATACAGCAATAAGAATCAATTAAAGAAGGCATTGTGGCAGATTTGTAAAAATCTAGGTCTTGTGGACGTTGTCATTGTCTTCCGCTGTAACAAAAAACATCATTTTCGTTTTATGCGATCGAGGCAACATATTGAATATATTCCACGGTGTTGTAGACATCAGCATGCGGTCACCAAAAATAATTGTCTTCCTCGGCAATTCCGGCGGAAGTGTGATTTTTCGATCCTGAAATCTTTGCAGAAGCTTGTGATTACGATAGTAAAAGTTTGGCTTATTTGAAATAAAACACCCCAAATTTCAGTAAAATCCAATTTACCGATTTCCGATTTCCAAACCATCCAAATGTGATACTTGGAGTTCTACTGTACTTCTTTTTATACCTGCAGATATTTGTAAAATTAAAAGTGTTTAAAGTTTTTGGTGTTTGTAGGAACAATGCATTTAAACAGTTTTCGAATTTTCATAATTTTATCACCCAAGATGGCTTTCTAATTTTCAACACCGTAACAGTATTTTTATCCCCCATTTTGTAAACAGGTGTCTTAACTTGGGTTTGTCCATTCATAGGATGTGTCCAAGGAAGACGGGAAGGCGAAGAGAGGAAAGCTGTCTTGGAACGCTGAGGCTTACCACGCCGGGCTGACGGCTGCCAGGAGACGAGCCGTACAGAAGGCGTTCATGTCAGGTAATAATCAACAACTCGACGTTCCGTTCCCAAGTCAAAGCTGTTGCCGGTTTAAGAATAAAAACACTCATAGTTGAATTTAGCCACGGACAGTGCGCTGTTGTGAATTACTGGTTTCTCTCAAATACGCTAACTTTTTTAACTAACCAAGCCAAACTGAAAAGAAAACTTATTGTTAGTCACTTTCAACTTATAACTGCGCTTGATCTTGGTTTCAGTTAGATTATTCTTTTCTTTCAATCAAAGCAATTGAATTTTACAATAATATTTTAATTTAACAAATTGACTTAGGTTAGTTTTTCCTATAAACCATTATTATGCTCTCCAGACAGGGACACAATTTTGCATATTTTAACCCTAATGTAAGACAATGATTGTACATTGAGCTGAGATATTTAGTGCAGTCTTACTAATTGACCAAGACCAGCTTTTTCTTTAGCCGAACCCCGAAACTATTATTAAAAGCGGAATGATCAAGGACAGCTAGGTGCAGTTTTACATATTCCAAAAGTTAATGTAACAGTGCATGATCATTATTTGAAAATGTACGGTTTAAAATTATGTACATGAGAAAATAGACAGATAATTCAGTTTGTACAAATATGATGTTTGGCTGCAGGTAAAACGCGTATAGTGGTGGCGACTGTCGCGTTTGGAATGGGTATCAACAAGCAGGATATCCAGGGTATCGTCCACTACAACATGCCGAGCTCGTATGAGCGATACGTGCAAGAGGTCGGTCGAGCTGGCCGAGACGGAGAGATCGCTCATTGTCACCTCTTCCTAAACACTCAGGTATTTAATCAACAATTTAGTATATTGAAGCGTTGTTGTATGCCTAACGGTTACTGAAAAATCCCAAATAAGTGTAAATTTAAAATTACCATGTTATTCTTACGGAGAATAAATACTGTTGTAGCCAGGTTGTCTATGGACATATTTAAATGAAATTTGGAAATTTTCTGCAGGTTTGCTGTGGCGGGGTATTACATTTTTCTATATGTGCAATTTATTATTTTTGTTTTGTTACTGATATCTGATCTTTTGTCAGAGTTGCAGTCTTGTAATTCTCAATCTGGCATCTAGGTTTCCTTTCACATTGGGAACTAAATGGTGTTTGGACTTTTATCCGATCAAGCAAGAACCGTTATTATTATTTATCACCATTGCCGTGGTGATGGACAATGAGCTATGTTTTCCATAAAGGATTTACTTAATCCCTTATATTGTGTGCAGGGTGGGGACCTGAGCGAGCTGAGACGGTTCATCTACGCAGACTCTGTAGAGAGACACAACATCAGACGGCTGCTGCAGAGGGTGTTTGTGCCGTGTGACTGCGGAGAGACTTGTACTGGTCACGAGGTGGCGTTCTCTGTGGTGGAAACTGTGACCGCGCTCGATCTACCAGAGGAGAACATTGACACTCTACTCTGCTACCTGGAGCTGTACGCACGCGCTCGAGTGCGAGTGTGCAACCGCGCGTACACTAAGTGCCGCATCCTGTCGTACAAGGGACCTAAACTGATCCGACAGGCAGCAAAGGAGGTGAGGAGTAATGAATGAAATTGAAATGCAGGTATCCAACATTACCTTTTTCAAGGATACAAAGCTAAAATAAAGTGGAGAAAAATATATAAATGCATGATGATTTCATTACCCTAAGTAAAACTCTACAAGTCATCTCTTGTGTTTCAGCGAATTTCCCAAGGAAAGTAGCTATTACCATAGGTGGCACAGTAAGACCTAGACCTGGGACCAATATACTTTTTTTTACTCTTATGTCCTTAGAGGCCAAAAACACTATTCGTTCAAATTGTTTTATATATATATATATATGTGTGTATGTGTATCAGTGAATGCAATCTGGCTTGAAGGTGTAGGGCGAAAATTCCAAAAAAACTTTAATTCCTATGTTATTCTTATGGAGAAAAAGAAAACTAAACTGTTGTAATTTACTTGTTAGTTGTTAATGGGTATATGTTGATCAAATTTGCAAAATTTATTTATTTCTATTTAACCTGAAGTAAAAAAAAACACTTTTTACCTTCCCCGTAGCAGCAATCTTTAAAAATCTATTATTATATAAATGGGGAAAAAATAAATATGTCTTGTTTCTGGAAATACTAGAAAATCTAATCAGACAAATTTAAATTCGCTTAGTCTGCAGGTTGAGGGTGTTAAAAACCTGTGTAGAACTTACAATGCTTTATAAATCACGGTCTACTACAGACAACAGGTTTTACGTTGAGTCTGTTGTTGCCAGTGCCCTCCGTTAGCCGTCGCTGTAGCTATGGAGGCGCAGAAGGGAGTCAGTATGGACAAGATGACCAAGCTGGAATTCCCAATTTTCCCTGTTGCGTCCGTCATCCAATGGGACAGCGGAGTAGTCAAACAACAGCTCAAGGCTTTGGAATGGACAAAAGGTTGGTCAGATATTTTTTTATTTGAGTGACATCAAACTAGGCTATGTAATAAAGTAGATTTTCTATTCAATTATGGACTGTTTTAAAGAACGTTACCAACCAAACTGTCATACAATGAAGTTTTACTGTGTTCTTGACAAAACTTTGTTAACAATTAGCTGTGGGTGTATTTGTGAGTCTGTCTTCTTAGAGTAATTAAATTTAATGGTTGTATTTGTGATTTTATGCGTGAGCTATTTTATTTGTGTGTACGTGTCATTTGCATTGCTGCAGTTAGAAATGAACAGGTACTGAAATTTTATAAAATCTTATTTCCGAAATAGTATATTACGTTACTAGTCCTGAAAATAAGTGTTTACCGGACGAGTGTGGTCGTTTCCGTGCGAGACGAAGTCGAGTACGGGATTACCATACGAGTCCAGTACACACATTTTGGACGAGTTACGTACGATAGTTTACGCCATACTACTAAATCCGTACAAATCCTTATATATTTCCACCAACTAAAGGACTAAAAATCACTAGTAATAACCTCTCTTAGGGGTTATGTTTTTGTTTATAACCACTCATTTTCACTTAATACAGTATAATCAGCTGATTGGTGTCCGGTAAAACTCATTGCAGTACAGTAGTACGCAAAGAAACCCCATTTGAATAAGCTGGCGGCAAACAGCTGTTTTCTGGACTAAATCCTTGCGTGGGAAGTTCGTCAAAATAATGTAGTGAGGCGTAAACATTATTCCCTGATCTTCAACCAGGATTTGTTTACAGGGTGTTTGCAAACTCCCTGGAACGTTTTTGTATATTTGTTCCTCAAGTCAAAACAATAAAAGAAAATCAAATAAACATGGGTCTAAAAGGTCTGATTTTCTTCCTGTCTGTCTGTATGTGATTTTTACAAATGTGTATATTTTGGTTGTCGGTTTTTGTTACCAATGTACTTTTACCCAAATTCTTGGGTTTTATAGAAAAGTGAAATAATTATTGGATTTTTGTATGATTGCTATTTGCAGGAATTTTGAATAGATATTTTAAAAAGAAATATAAATTTTCCTTGTCGCAATGGGAAAATATCCCGTCCTGAACATTTAATACAATCCAGCCTTACCATCAACTGATTGCCAAACTTCAACCTGAACTTTTGCAGTCCTAAGATCTTGGTGGTGTGTCTCTAATTTTGAATCGTAATTTCAAGTTGACGGCCAGCCCCGCAAGTCAGGCTTGACAGTGGAGTTGTTCGATTTGGGTTTCCGTGTTATCGCGGTGGGTAACCTGACAGGTGATCAACTGGACGCGACACTAGGTAGTCTTACTGACCGTGTGGACACACAGGAGACTCAAGCTCTACGTCAGCTGCAAGCAACCTTCACCACACTATCACAGTAAGTAACTTCTAATACAGTAAATAGTATCCTGCTTAAGTAAAAAATGGTTTCCAAACATAGGTTAAACCTAACCGGTTCAATATTGAAGTTGACAGCCTATTGTTATTGACCAGCTGTTGCCATTAACTTTCGCCACCTTTGCATGTAGTATGTGGAGAAAGTATTGTTTTTATCAAAGGTTCTAGTTTTAGTTTAGGGTGGAAATATTAGTTTTGGGTCCCCCTGTACCCAAAAAGTGGTTTACGAAGTGATGGGTGTGTACAAAACTACGGATCCCACCTATGGTCCGATTTTGATGAAATTTTGTTTGTGGGTGCTAAATCATTGGTATCTCCACGTGTTTTTGTTTTCATATTATTTTTAATCAAGATTTTTCAATAAAATAACAAAAATATGATTTACACAAAAACGGCTGAAACATTTTTGATTAATGTCCTTTTGACTCTAAAATAATTAAATAAATGGTACAACTCCCATTGCTGTAAAATTTACAATTGAAAATTTATCACAATTTTTGTGATTTTACCCATCCATACCAAAAAAACATTAAAAGACTTGAATTTTTGTATCCACATGGTTTTTTTACATTCCATTAATGATTGATTTGTCTACACAGGGTATCTCATCAAACTGTCGATGAATGTATGGACAAAGTAGGTGACAAACGCTGTGAGGAACTCAAATCCAATATTCGGCAATATTTTACAAGTGACTCATTTTTAGACAACTTTCAGCTTCCAGAGGTATGAAGTATACTTATATATTGTAGCTAAAACTTAACTGTGCTATTAAGTAATTTTTTTGAACTATACAAAAATATTTCAAACTATTAGTTCATTTAATTTGTGTTTAACTGCTGAAAAATATTGCATGGAAATTATTAATCAGCATACCAAAAGAAAAATTTCTCTCATTGGAAATATTAGGGCCAGAAAGTAAACAATTTTTTTTGTCTGGTACACACACTTTCTAACACAAACTTTTTTGCCTCCTCAATAACTGTCCAGGAGTCAGTGGAAATTTTGTTGGGCTGCCCGTTATCCCAATATTAAAGTTTAAAAAGTGCACTGCAATTGAAAATACCACTGGTTGTGAGGTGCCAACTTTAATAATATTTTGTTGGACATAACTTTAATAAAAATCTAAATAGAAATTTATCTTAAAGCATGTGAGATGGCCAAACCTTGATTGATGACCAACATTTTTATTTCACATGACAATGCCCGACTTTTCACAGAAAATTGTACACAAGATTTCTTTCATACATTTAAATAGAAGATTCCGCTTAACCAGACACTGCTCCAAGTGAATTGCATTTGTTTCTCAAGTGAAGACTTATTTTTGCAGCATAGTGCTTAAATTACGAGGTGCTCCAATTGCTTGTCACAGAGTGGCTGAGATCGCAGGCAGCCGGATTCTACGTCAAAGTAATCAGAGTAATCAAAGCCAGTCAGTCCTCTGCTATGATAAATGCCTCAATTTCTTTAATGACTTGGTAAAAAAGTAGTATTTTAGTTGCCCTTTCAAATTTAATTTAGTAAATTTTGATTCTTGTAAAGCTTGTTATTTTATTCCAAAACGTTGTTTACTTTCTGAACGTTTTATTATTTGTTTCTGACATTAAAATGAGACTATCTTTAATATAAGCTGGCAAACAGTCAAAAGAGTTAATAATATCTTGGCTAAATTTTATGGGTGTTTCACAGGTGAGTTTATCCAACGAGGACCAGATTGTGGCGGACGTGCGTAATCTCATCAACAGCTACATTGACGTAACGTTCACCGGACGCGCGGTGGCACGCATCTTCCACGGCATCGCCAGTCCTAACTTCCCTGCTCAGCAATGGGGTCGGTGCCGATATTGGCGTGCTCATCTACACGAAGACTTTAAACTTATCGCACGCCTTGCCACACGCGAACTTATCAAGATGAGGTAGTGAGAGACCTAGAGCTTTGTGTGATTTTAGTCTGCTAGGATGTTAGAATTTATTTATTTTAATTTAATGATTCCAGTACAAGACTTGTATATAAGATTTTATATGATTTTTGACAATATACGTTTGAAGACTGATGTTTTTTAACAAAGTTTTTACGACCCATTACTATTTAACTGATTCTTTTTCAATTTTTTGCAACAATTTGTAGTAGGCCGTGCTATATTATGGTTTGTTTTCTAATGTTTATTTATATAAAAACAAACGCCAGTAAAAATTTTATTCCTATAATCTCAAAAGTCAAAACTATTGGGAAAATTAAAAAGAAATGTAAATTAAACGAAGATTCTATTTAATGTTTAAACTAAAAGAAAGGATACAAGGTGTAATTTCCAAAAAATTTTGATTAGTTTTTGATTAATTTATTTAAGTAACATTTATAGCCACAGTTCAAATCATTATTTATTTATAAACTAACAAGTAACAACCTATAGTCTTAATAAAAAATTAATCACAAAATGTCTTATTTTAATTTTGGGATTCTAACCCTGTGTAAAATGAAAAAATATCCTCAATGTTGGTATATAAAATAAGCATAAATTTGTTAATAACCCTAAAGTTTTACCAAATTATATTGGTTTCTCTTCAACATTGATTCCTAAATAAAAAAATAACATTTTCAGGTGTATGTAAATTTCACCACCATAAAAACATTACGAGTAGAAAAAGATTTGTGATGTTGACAATCATGAAAAGTATTATGGAATGTTTGCTTGTCCATAATCACATAGAAGGGCCATATAAACTAGATGTGACATTAACCTGAAATAATAAATTATGTGATCCATTCTTGGATTTATAACTTCATAACCACTATCCCCTTCTTAACAATGTCCTGATTCCTCATAAAGTTTAGTAATAGCACTCATAAGTTTGAGAACAAATTTTTTTGTATAATTTAAATGTGTCTACAATGGATTTTCCACATACCCTAAAATTATTAGGCCTATTATTATTTTTTTTTTTACATTCAATGTTTCACACCGAAACACTATCCCAATATCTTGTAAAATTGTATCTACAACTCAAACAACCTTTTGTAAAATGAAAAGTTTTAATGAGGAATTTACCCAATTGGCTTTCAGTATATGTAGTAGATCTACTGTATTTAAGGTAGAATATCAATTAAACAAAAATACTGTAAACAAATTATTTTTTCGCTATCAACTTGCACAGAAGTTATCTACGAATTCTTAAATCTTATTTGTCAATTCCTATTTCCTATTATACGACAAATTTGATGTTTTAATGTGTCTTTTTCTTAACTTTTTCTAACCCTAGTTTTGTGCAAAATGTCAAATGATCAGTCCTAAACATGGTTTTTGAACAGACTTCCAAACTAAAACTTTGAAGAGTCTAAGAGCAACCGAATTGCGAACAGTTGTAACTGAGGATTCTCCTGCTGTTGATGCGTAGAGTGCGTTCGTCCTGGAGTTTACCTACTTTCTCCATCTGTTTCTCGGCCACACACTCGGCACACATTGCGTTGAACATGATCCTCATTGGGGTCTTGACCATCAAAGAGCGACCACGCTGAGCATGCATCCAGCTGTGGTAGAGGACCTGCATAAACACATGCTTAGTGATCCGGAAACTCTGCCTTAGAAATGGTCTATGGCACATTTTACATTATTCTGTAGAAATAATGGCTGGTACATATATTAAATGTATTTTCATGCGGCCTCAAATATATTTCTTAACGCAAATGATGTTTTTAAGACACTAACATATGTAGTTGTGAAAAACTACGATCAGTGCTTAATTTATATGATTATCAGTACTAGAACTGAAATGAAGCAGGAGTTTGACCCCTTCTGATCCTTCACTATAGGTACCTCTAAGTTTCCTTCATGTCCGTAGCACAACAAAAATTCAACCATAAAACGATGACTAGGGCTAGGACATTCTAATAATCTTGTGTTGGCATGATTAACTAGAAGATCAGCCTCAAACCATTATTCACATGGTAACCCTTGACAAGTGTAAACTATACTTCCAGGTAAAATTCATCAGTAGTGTGTTATGTAGGATAAACTGGGGGCACATTTGGCAAACAAAAAAGTGACAATCAAATTGCTGCAATAGCCAACTAATATACATGAATTCAACAAAATTCAAAACCTAAATTCAACTTCAATACCATTCAGGGATTTGAAGTCACCTCAACTTTGACTCTGTCAGTTAGTTATGATGCAGCTAAGCCCTACAGTTCATACAGTTCAACAAGTTAATCAATAATTGCTTTTTCCTCTAATTTTCTGAGCACAAGTTTTTATGTTGGCTGCACTGTGACTCACCTCCGCCATGATGTAGACGACAGTTGCCCAGCCTGGCAGCACCACTAGCATAGGCAGCACTAACAATGACAAGTCACAGACATATTCAGACCCTTTCTTCGGGGAGTCTAGAACAGCTGTGTCAAACACTGGCGACTTGAGAGCTGACCTTGGCACCTGCGGACAAAATCATCTGATTATGAATTGAAAATCCTTTATTTCAACAGAAAAAGTTTACTCATTACCAAACAACGTTAACAAATATTACTCATACTCTCGACTGAGTGCTGACTGCAAATACAAAAACACTAAAACAATCCTAGGACACACCATCCAAGGCCCTACACTCTTGGTACAATTTTTAGAGTGCCCCACAAATCGGAGACTATTACCAATCTGGTTAGGACTATAAAGCACAATTATCTAGTCAGGATCATGGTTAAACCTCAGTAGTCAGTCGGTATTCAGTAGTATAAAACATATGCAGAGTTTGGACAGAATAGGTGGAGTTTGAATCGTCTATAAAACTATTTGGGGAAATCTAAAATTACCATAGGGCGGGTGCACCAGTGAATGACCGTTTCATATAACATCATAACAAGCATCTTGTTTATAGCCTAATCTATCATAAAGGGTATTAAATTAGCTTTGGGGCCTGATTGGAATCCACCCTGTCACTTGTTGAAAAAGATAGTGCCAATCCATGCTCTTGTTTTTCTTGTATTACACATAAAATCAAATGTTCCAACCAGTTTATCTTCAAGCTTTCTACTAAAGGTCTCTCAAAAGCATGATTGATGTCATGGTTCTTTTATAATATTATTGATGCAAACTGCAATGTATTAAAATGTGTAATCCACCCATGTTACAATTCTGTACTCATTTTAAGGTCAAAATTTACTGGATCTCAACTTTGGGTATAACCAGTGAATGGGCGGTTCGGTCTTTTAACTAAAATACATGGCTCTTATGTGATTCGTCCAAATACCGACATGGTCAGTTCACGCCTTATTAGTTCTTTAACGTTGTCTACCAGTCCTACCAGTTGCCACACTCCTCTGTACAAGAGGTCATGTTTCACCTGTTAGTAAATGTGTCAAGCAGTTATTGCAAACATAGAATACCTTAAACTTGGACCTCTGATAGACGAGTCGTACTTGTGTCTGTTCCCCAGTCTCGTCGTCGCCGAAGCTCCGCAGAGGTTGACTCGTCTGGACCAAGGGAGTCACAACCTCCCCCGTGTCAGAGTCCACCAATAACCCTCCGTTGGGACTCATCTTCTCTGGGAACATCATAACATTTCTTAAAATCAAGAGGTCTATACTTAAATAAACGGTCCTCCCATTAGCTGGTCAACAACCCTTATCATGGGCGGTTAGAACTATGATATTTTATAAAAAAAAGTTACAATAACTTTCGAACTATAACTTTTACAGCTTTGGGGGTTAAGCCATTTTGTTTTGAGTGAAAAGGACCACAACATGCTAACTTTTATTCAAAACTAGCTGGCCCGACAGACGCCGTCCTGTCCTAATGTGGTTTTTTGTCAAATGCTCGTTCATTTTCAAGGTGAGCTCGTTCGCATGGCTCAATCACGTCCTGGTTGAAGTTCGTTCGCTACGCTCACTCACCTTTAGCATGGAGCTCGTTCGCTGCGCTCACTTGCCTTCAGGTTAGCTCGTTCGCTACGCTAGCTCGCCTTCAGGTTGAAATTCGTTTGCTACACTCACTCACCTTTCGATTGCAAATTAGCTGTTGTCATAAATTTAAAAAAAAATAGTGCTGCACCCTGTTGGTAAACCTATTAACTTTTTAATGATATTTAACATCACAGAATCAAATTGTTTAGTTGAACCAGCTGTTAAGATTCTTTAATTCCATTTAAATATGAGTACCGGTACTCATAAGGTTAACATGGGAAACTCCAGAGCCACTGGTGCGGAGCCCTTTTGACGGATCTGCACCAAACTTCACAAAAACCATCCTTGAATAATGCTTAATAATGCCTGAAAGTTTCATTACAATCTGTCGAGCGGTTTCGGAGTCCATAAAGGACAAACAAACATACATTGGATTTTATATATTATCAAGCGGGCTATTTTTCAATTCAATTTATTATTTTAAATGGGTTTTTATGGAAAATTACATAAGCTGCAATACATTTTTACTGTGATGGTGGTTGTACCGTGTTGTTTAAAATTTAAATAACTATACCATAAGTACTAAATTTCAATCAAAATTGTTAGAACAATTTTTTTTAACCGAGCTGTTTTTGTGCAAATTTAAACTTAACTGTTACTTTACAGGTTTTTATGACAAAAGCACCATTAAAGGTAAAAATTAAAAAAAATGTTCTAAAACAAACATAATTGCAATCTCCATTACCATCTTTCATATATATCTCCCGATTTCTTTTAAAACAGTATAAGAGTGTAAATATATGTAATTACTGTTATTAGATGTATTTTTATCTGTCACTTTGGTACTCGCTCTAGTTCAGGCTTGATCGTTTATACACTTAACTGATTCTTTTTCTAAAATTCTGATGCTTATTAAAAAGATATTTTCTACCTCTCTCCAATGTTTACATTCTCTATTATTAAGCTTGTACTAACGCCTCAGAATTACATAAAACGTCTTTTTTACCTAAAAGTGAACTACCTATAAATGGTGCAATAGTTTCGGTTCGCGTTCGATTTCGATACCCAAATAGGCTACTGTAATCGGATCGCAGCATTCGATTACCGAAGGCGCCAAGCGGTTGTTTACTATCGTGACCTTGCCTTATCAGTCTTGTTATCTCCCCTCGGTCAAATGATGTTATCAGTTTCTCCCCTCATTGTAATCTAATGAAGCATTCTCAAGCAATGGGGTTCGTTGATTAAATTATATGAGAGCCAACTTAACCAAAACGGTTGTTGTGAAAGAGAAAGTGTCCAAAAAGATAACAATGCAACTGATAACTGATATAATAATGGTAACTATTATAATACTTCTGCACTTCTGAAAATTACAAAACACTTAAGAAGCTTAAGAAGAACTTAAGACTCTGAGTCCCCCCACTCGAAAACATCAAATAAAATAATCCTTATTGCCATAAAACTCAGCTCAAGCATTGACATAAGACAAATACAATACACTAATAGAGAAAGACATGGAAAACAAAAATCCTCGTAGGTCTTGGCCAAGGGACAAACTAATAATATCATAACAAACTACCAACAACATCGCCGTTATATTTTATACCACAAAATACATAATGCATACCACAAAATATTAAGATAATAAGACCACCAACTTAAACCACTTTAAGAATTTTTTGTAGATTATAGTTTAATAGGCTGGAGTCATTCCTTTAACTACCGGTACAAATGGGTTACACAACCATAGACCATAGTAAGGTTGTTTTCGTCCCAACACATAGAAGTTACAAATATCAAACTATTTTCTATAAAAATAAAATTAAAGTTTTGTCTGTAGTCTGTACATTGCTCAAAATTATATATTTTTGGTTATTTTACGTTTTATGCATTAAAGAAGCCGAAACAATTCTTATCTCAATTTCTGTCTGTCTGTCACGGCCCAGAAGGCATTTTACGCGGCCTTCTGAAAAACGTGAGCATTGATCGGGATTCAAATAGTCTTTTTGTATTCACAGGATTGGCGAGAGTGTCTTTAGCCATTAAAATATGACCTCAACACTTTTGAAATAAAATAACGGACCAATTTTGTGCGATTTTTTCAAGTTTTCTCTTAATGTTTACCACATACGTCATTTAAAAATACTCATCTGTTTGGAAAATACGACATCTATGGAGTAACGAACAAATGTTTGAATAAAGATTATTTTTTAACTGTCAATGGATATGTTTACATTAAATGTTGTTTACAGATACTGCCAACCATTTCCAATCACGTTTTGTAAGAAAATCCAAAACCAAGTGAGATTAAAAACTTTGTAGAACGGGTACACAGGTAGTTCTATACTAATGTCCATAAAGACAATAGGTAGGTTTAGTATATTTACCAAGATACAAAAAATTTATTGATAAATCAAAATTATCTTTTGAAGTGCAATTATAAATAGAGGACAAATCGTATTTCATTATAGCATGCATTTGATTAACTATTATTTAAACCCATTACAGTTGCCAGTAGCGTGTTTGTGATTGTCAAGAATAGTAACATTCGTCAAGGAAAGCTAATTACACATCTCAGAAACCGGTTTTTACTGAATCGCCTCAAGAGTATAGGCTTTGCTTACAGCAACTCATATGTATCATTTACAGTGCAAAAGATCTGTGAGCAGATTAAAATCGGCCATCTTGTACGTCTGAGGAACATTGACAAAGGCATTTGGTATAAAATATATCAATTTCTAAAAGTTAACATTCAATGCTATTTACGACCTATGAGAGTGTGAAACACTATATACAACCACAATAATCAATGATGCAACTAAACAAATTGAGTTATGTAGTTTTAAATTAGAATGTTTATTTTAGATTTGAAAATGTTGTTGAACGAAGTTTGTAAAAGTGTTTTACTCTTGTGATTGTCAACACCATCTTGATAATTACACAAGAAGTTCACTTGGATCATAGCACAGAATAAAGAAATGTGTATTTCATCTGATAGGAGGCAGTATTTGTGAATTTATAGAGGACTCTAAAGACAACGACATTAAAAAGCGAAGCAATTGTTGTAGTTGTGACCTTCACCTTGTCATATCTTCCTTTTCCGTCCGTCGCGGCCAACAATCGCCGGCATGGTAACAAAACATATTAGGCCTACACCTAGTGGTTAACGATATATTTTCGGCATATCAATAAAATAAACTTCTGCCGTAGCCTGGTTGGCAGATTTTGTGACGTCACGTTTCACCTGGGGAATGTTCATTGCAGTGGGAATGGGGGTTATTCGGGGGGTGGTATTCCGCATCCCCACAAAATACACCAGCTGTCGCACAGCATACGGGGAACACACCGCAAATCGACGTGGTTGCACAGCACTTAGCACATAGCAGTTTGGAAATCACATATAATCGGATTTATTGATAAAATGTATCCCTTCCATAAAACCCCCTGCCACCTTGAGAGAAATGCCTCAGCTTTAAAAGAGTACTGGTATATGGTATGAGATGTTCCTCAATTTATCCGACGACAATATCGTTATAATAAATACACAAGCAATACACAGTTGTGTAGGTTAAAATTTTATAGCTGATTAGTTATAAAATCATTCTTTTGAACCGCAAGTTGCTGGATTGGTCCTACATAGGGTCGATTTTATACCCAGTTTCCAATTTGCTATTCTATTGGGATATCATATTATGCTTATATTATACAGGGTGTTTTTTTTTTTTAACTTGCATCTTTATTTATGTAAAAACCGCAATAGATAGAAATATGCAGTTTGCGGGAATCATCTATTGACGTAGGGGGCCCAATCTTTTTGAATTCAACGGTACATTCACATTCCCCCCCTTTCCCCCCTGCCCTCAACTTATTTTTTTAAAATAGCAAGGTACCCCTTGTGACAAATCAAATGAAAGAGCACGAAAAAAGAAAATGTTTGATGAAAAAAATTAAAATCGGTTCATAAATTTGTGAGATATCCCCCCCCCATCACCCCGGAACTTATTTTTTTTAATAGCAAGGTACTCCTTGTGACATATCAAGTGAAAGAGCATGAAAAAAGAAAACGTTTGGTGAAATTTATTTTTCATTTGATATGTCACAAGGGGCACCTTGCTTTAAAAAAAAAAAAAAAGTTTTGAGGAGGGGAAAGAGGGGGGGTTATCTCACAAATTCATTAGCCGATTTTCAATTTTTTTTCACCAAACATTTTCTTTTGTCATGCTCTTTTATTTGATATGTCACAAAGGGTACCTTGCTATTAAAACAAATTAAGTTCCGGGTAGGGAGGGGGGAATATCTTACAAATTTATGAACCGATTTTGAATTTTTTTCATCAAACATTTTATTTTTTCATGCTCTTTCATTTGATATGTCACAAGTTGCACCTTGCTATTTAAAAAAATTAAGTTGGGGGCAGGAGGGGAAAGGGGGAATGTGAATGTAACGTTGAATTAAAAAAAATTGGGCCCCCTATGTCAATAGATGATTCCCGCAAACTGCATATTTCTATCTATTGCGGTTTTTACGTTAATAAAGATGCAAGTTTTTAAAAAAACACCCTGTATGCTTAAGCACTAAATAGTGACAAAACATGGGTTTTTATCATCCCCGTACTACAAATAACTCTCAACTTCCTCTCAACTCTCCCGTACAAAAAGACACCAGTGAAACACGACGAAAAATAAACAAAGAAATGCGGAATATTCTTGAAACAATAAACACTAAAAGAGCATATAATATATCTGAAACTAAACAGTATTGCTGAGATGTATTTCAAAATTAACAAGGAAGGGGCTGTCTACAAGGGAACCTGATTATAAACTTCCCCACCATTTATATTTGAAAACCCGCATCATTAATTGCACCATAGATTAAAGAGTAGATAGTACACGTGATTTTCCTGACTTTAATGTTCATAGATTACTTTTGTTTACCAAATGCGTTTCACACGTAAATTTAATTTATACAATGTATTTAATATAAAAAAAAAAATATGTTTTGTTATAATCTTGCCATTCTTAGTATTTATTGCGAATACTTTATAAACAGAGCATAATACACAAAGACTGGGGAATTACGAGTCTAAGGAAAATATCTCACAAGCAATGTTAATCCAAAATAGTTTGTTAGGTGTACTCTTTTAATCTACTCACTAATTGATTTCGTTGTTTGGCTTTCAACTTGATAGATGGGGACTGGACTGGGGTGACTTAAACCCCTATCTTTGAGTCGATTTAAATGGTCCTGATTGGTGTATAATTTAAACATTATATGTTGAGCCCCCCCCCCCCCTATGTATGTTTACAAACTAACTCTCCTTACCAACTCCCGTCTTCTATTTCTTGATCTTAATTTCATTTTTTCTTTAGTGTCAAAACGCAGAACCCGATGGACAATGGACATAAGTGTTGGAGTAGGTACCGTACTATATTAAAAATCGGTTTAATTTTAATATTCTTGCAGCGTAAAGATCTTAGGCCTACATCCTGTTTTTGTTTTTTGAGAATGTTGGTACAGAACAGATAGTTAGCTTATATAACTCGGTTTCAAGTGAGACATTTTTCTTAGCTCTTTAAAAATCATCTGATCGAAACTACCTTTAACTATTATCTTTGTACAGTATCTTATACCTACCACCTCAACCTCAATGAAACATGGCTTGTGCTTCTGAATTCGGAGAAAATTTGTGATTTAAAGATAGATAGTGGCATTCACAAATAAAATAATCACTGAAATTGGCAAAGTAATATTAGAACTTATTTGCTTTATTTGATAGGTAAAAATGTCGTATTTAATGCTAAAAATGGCAATAATCGTGTAAAATTCACCTGTTAGTCGAATTCCATACACAGATTCTGTAACTTTCACAACCACTGACAACTCATAACTGATTACTATTGAGTGGTGGGGGGGTCCGAAGGTCATCTCATCACCCCTCCCTTCCCCTCCGTGACGTCACGCCAAAATTAAATCAGCTGATTACCCATTAATGCACGCACAGACAATGCATTGACAGGAACACGACGTCCGACGTGTGCTTTCTTTACCCTCACGAAAATGTGCCCTAACTAGAGGGCGGAGGTTAAAAAAAACTGTGGAACACTATATTATAGACCCTATAAAGCTTTATGCTATACCTTCCAAGTACAAGAGTTAACTGTTATCAATAAGTATTAAGAAAAATATTATAACTTTGCGTTTTCCCATTGTATTGCAGAAATAAGCGCAATTTATTAAGTTAAATAATTTCTTTTAGACAGCAACACAATTACTTAGGGTGCGAATTTCAGGGTAGGCCTAAGAATACTAAATAAATGCAAGATGAGTGTAGAACGGATTTTAGAGATATGTGAAGCTTGATTACTGATTAGAACACCATTTTCAACTAGAGCCATCGCAAAATAATAATAGACATTGGGTCCAGTTTTGAACCATTACAATCCTACAAACCTTTTACAGGATCGAACCTGTGGCCTTCTGGTTTGTTTTGGCGAGCACACAAGAACTCAGCTACAAAGCTCTAAAATTGTCTTGGTCTTGAAGCCTAGAGAAAAGAGTACACACAGTTTAATGCAGGACAGGCTATAACAAACCTGTCTTAAAATTTCAGTCCAGCAATTTATTATTTTGTAAAACAATTAATGATATTTATTGTATAATCACTAGCCAAGGGTCGCAAGTTTAAACTCTCTTTCCCTTGCCTTTGGGAGAAGCGGGGGAGGCGACGAACAAATCGTAATATGTGAAACTTGCTTCCTGCATTATGGAGAACGCGAGCACAAGACACTTCCTGATGGCGACTTCCTCCGCCAGGTGCATCTTGCGACGCATAGCCACCTTGATCGTGGACACCATAGCCTCCTGGAAGTCTTCCAGGACGGACTCCTCGGTGTCCAGACCCATCTTGGCGTGCATCACTCCCATCCGCGTCATCAGCTTGGTCAGTTGCCGTGGTTGGTCCACGTTTTCCATGATGTCCTTAAGACGCACCATGATCCTGGCAAGGTGGTGGTTCTTGAAGTTCATGTCCTTAGGTAAAGACAGTCTCTGCAGGCCGACGCTCTCCAGGCGCAAAAACAAGTCCGTCAAGTTCGGGTGTTTTGTGAAGAACTGGTTGAAGACGGTGGTGATGAAGTCCTCTTCGATCGGCTCTACGAACTCCCGCCAGATCCTGCGCGCCAGCTTTGTGTCTTGATCGCCCAGATCCGCCTGTCGCTGTTTGTCCAGGAAGGCGAAGTCTCTTCTTCTTGGAGCTCCTGATGGTTTCAGTTGCGATGGCCGTTCAGACTTCTCCATCATCGAAATGTCCGTCATTGTTCCCTTCGTCTCAGTCACCTTCTTGAGAGCCATGTTGAATTTAGGAATTGGTTTTGATATTGTTGTTTTATCGCATCAGCTGACTAGATGAATAAAAATTGCAGAAATGCTAGACATTTGGTTATGACGTTTGAATATGTATTTCCTTCCATACCGACGTCTTGGGTTGTAGATACGTAGATTAAACATACGTTTTGGTTAGTCCGTGGTTATATGTTTTATCTATGGTTGTAGCTAGGTTTTGAATTAAGTTACGGACAGAGTGCACTCATGTAAATTACTTTTTTCTGTCGATTGTGCAATATTTTGCCAAGCCAAACTGACAGGAAAACGAACTGGAAACAATGGCATCTTAGTCACATCAACTATCACAGTACGGTACGGTAACTAATACCCCCGCCGCAGCAAACCTGCAGACTAAGCGAATTTCCATATGTCTGATTGGATTTACACTAAAATGTCTACTTAAAAATTTAACATTTATTTCCTATTTAAATAGAATTATTTTAACAGGTACTTAGGTTTGCTGCATCAGGGAGGGTAAAACTTTTTTTTGTAAAATGTTATTAGTTAGTAAGAAATAAAAACATTTTCCAAATTTGATCAAAATATGTTCATAAACAAGCAAACTACAACAGTTTACTCATTCTCCATAAGAATAACATGGGAATTTAAAATTTACATTTTTTTGGAATTTTCTCCGTAACCATTAGGCGCATAGTAACACTTCAATATACTAAATTATTTGTTTTTTAAAGCTCTACAAAATGGTTTGAAAAGATTTTGCAAAATTTTATTTTTTTTGGGTCAAAAATGGGAAAAACTTATTTTTACCCCATAAAACCCCCCGTAAACCCCCGTTCCCATAGTCCGATCATGCTGGTTCGCGAACTCGTTCGAGTTTATCCCGCCTTACACCTTCAAACCAAATTTTATCAAAATCGGACAAAAATTACTCAAGTTATCGTGCGGATGGACATATATATATATATATATATATATATATATATATATATATATATATATATAGATATATAAAAATTTGAACGAATGGTGTTTTTGGCCTCTGGGGACATCAAAATGAAAAAGTAAATCGGTCCCGGGCCTAGGTCTTACCATGAGACCTACGGTAATAGCTACTTCCCTATAGGGAAATTCGCTAAAAACTGAGGGAGGAAATACAAATTAAACTGAAACAAACGCAGTGAGTGGCTCATAAAACTATCTAAATAGAGGTGATGGATTCTACAATATCCAAAAGTCAATAGTTATAAAATACGAGATGTATAGTGGAAATTTACACGTGGAATTGATGTTGGGAATCTTACTGTACAATGTACACTATGTACCACTGACTTCGGCAATACCATAGATAAAACATACTCCCGTGTTTTTAAACTTCAGTTGTGCACTGTGAGATATTAGACATTTTCTTTGTAGTGTTTTTAATTGTTTTATTATTAGTTAAAAAGGCTAGGCTCCAAGAACTCTTAAAATCCGCACTGACGAGGCGAACACGAACAACCTAGTATTATAAAGATTCTGGATTTCATGGAGTCAGTCAAAGTAGGTTTGAACAACTGTCGACTATTGTTGGCTTAAGTAACTGTTTGACTTGTGAAAGGAACTTTGACAGTGACTCACTGATTAAGAGGAAATTTGTATTGTTGTTTCAACAACACACAGGCACGTCACTTTAGGTTTAGACAATTGATTTGGAAATGGTATAAAATTATTTAGGCTTGGCTTTTGAAGAGTGCCTAGATCTTTTCAAATTATTAGTACCCTGTACATTTATTTTTACTTTATTTGTAATGCGTGAAGGATTTAACAAAATCAAAATTTAGACAGTTGCATTTTTATCGAGCTTGTTTCGCTGCTTTACCGCTTGAGTCCAATGTTCTTTTACGGTACTTCTATACTAGATACTGAAATGGAATTGAGTTACTTATTATACGTCTCAGATATTTCACCAATTCTTTTGTTTACTAGATAAAGACACCTTTTGGATTCCTTTGCCACCCAGTTCTTTATTTTCCCATTTTAACAGTGGTTATCGAAGGAAATCTCGATCTGCAATAAAATTACAGTTCTGACAAATATGTTCTTCTTATTGTTGGGTTAAACAGTTAAAGCCTCCAAACCTTAAGTTCAAACTAAATGAAGAGTAAAAGCTACGTAGAATCAATACAACGTTTTACATACGACACTTATTCCAGTTCTCCCAATGAAACCTCCAAACCCATCAAGTATTTTGGCGTATCATTATGTGACAAATTAATTTTCTCACATTACTTTTCAGCGCAGGGACATCAACCTATCAACTTGCCATCCTACCATCCTAGTAGTCTAACAACTGTAACTATTGCACGAATACAAAATGAAAACACTTCACCTAAAGGGGTACATATTGAAGTGTTTGTTAAAATCATACTCCAAGATAGTGCAGTTTCTACTACCTGTTGAGCTTTACAACCTTCCCCTCAAATAGGGGATGGACAGGACGTGGAGCCACGCGTCAGACTCGCTGGGAGGAAATAATTAACGATTGATTTAATATTATGAGAGAGGGGTGGTAGGGGGTGGAGTTTGTCATCTGATGTGTGGCAGCGTCTGCGCACTACGGGAATATCAGCTCCAATGTTTCACCCGCTCAGACCAACTCCTCACGAACTGATCTTTGTGAGATTAGTTCTTGAGAGTCAAAATTTTACATACAGATTTTTTAAAGTGTTACATGCTTTTAAGTTTCGTGAATCTTTACACATTTTAAACAATCTCTCTTTGTCTGAGAGTTGATTTTTTTGCAAAATTTACTGTGCGACTCATAAGATATCGTTTATGCTTGGTGTGCAAAGTTTTTATCGGAAAATAGCAAAACGGTGTTGAGGCTAACTTAATTTCAGATCAAATAAGTGTTAGGCCAATAATTGAGGTTTTAAATAGTAGTCTATGGTTTGTAATGCAATTTATTTTACAATTGTAGGGTTTTAATGTTTCCACGAATGATTCCTTTCCTACAATGTCTTGAATCTGAATATAACATCGAACATAGAATTCTGCGTACCGGTACTTCTTACAAATCAACTGAAGACCATATTTTATGACTGTAGGTTTGGATTTAAGCAGTCCTGAACAAAGAAACTCCATTAACAAAGCTAAACAGTAAACAGATGTCACGCAAAAAGTTTAATTGCACATTCAGCTTACAAAATAAAAATTACAAGCACGATGTATTGCATTTATATATTTATTTCATGGCATTTCACCAAACATTTTTTTTTTTAATAGAACCACCTCACTCTCACACATCACAAGACTACTAACGACCGTCTAGATCGTGGGTACACTTTAAAAAGCAAGTCACTTTGAAAAATGATTCTAATCTTTTGCGAGACTCGTTCCAATGAGTCGTTCAGTAGAACAACATCGGTAGTGGAGCTACAGGTGATCGCATGAAGGACTCGGAGAGCTGATAAGGACGATAAGGACCGAAGATGATGAGCTCGACAGGGTTAGTTGTGTTTGTACTATTTGTTTGTTTCCTCTATATTCTATTCTTGGTAGTCTAGGATTCAGGGGTCACTCACCCTTGGGGTTAGAGACTTAGAGATAACACTATTGATAAACCATAAAACCCCGAGGGGTGGTTTTGCTTGTATTTTCGAGCCTCAAAAATATTGTTATTTCCGGGAGTATTTTAACTATTTTTTTGTCACACTATCCAAATTCATTCAGCTCATCTATGAAAGGTCATGAATAAATTTTAGAAATAATAAACTCATGTTATTTCCGATTTTAAGAACAGTTTTTTATCATCTTAAGTTATAGGGGTGTTTTTCATAGTATGCCAATCTACCAATAATAAAATATCCATGGAATAAATCAAGAATTTTTATTCATCATAGGCGCTATGTACAATACATGCATCGGATGAACCATTAAAAAATCTAGTGGTAATGTGTTAATTAAGTGAATTACCATTTATGTGACATATTGTAGTCAAGGTAATAAAATAAAACCTAATTATTATAAGACAATTTACGACCCATATGTATAGGCTTATAAATAAATTTAAAAATAACAATTTGAAGTTTCCATAAATTTAAATACACAGTAATAATAGTAAACAAATAAATATAAAACATAGTTCGGCAATAACAGCTTGGTGTAGGCCCTACATAAGCTAATCTGAATATTAGAAGAAATAATCCTCAATAATAATGTACATGTTTACCCTCAAGATGTATTTTTAGGAAAAGTTAATACAATTCTGAAGCAGATAAATTACTTTAAAATCAGATTGTTTACTCTTTTGAGTAAACACTATGTTTGTATAGTATTTATTAGCAGTGTGTACTTATGCAGTTGTTAGTACAGGAACCCTTTAAACCATGATAGTCAATAAATAATAAGAGGTCAGAATAATAAGTATGGTAGACCTAAGAATGCCCACTTTTCTTACTGATTAGTTACATAGTCATCTAATTATAAACATTTGGGTAGGACAATTGATTGATTTTTATTTACAACACATAATAAGAGTAATAAATATGACAGAATATCTTATTTCACTAGAACTACCTCTTAAAATTTGTTTTTGGAGGGGTTTTTATTGATTATTGTTGTTTTTTTTTTTGGGGGGGGGGTTACTATACTATTCTATTATCATATAGAAGGTAAATATAGTAAACTGTATCAGAAACCTAACACATACTTCCTCCCTTTAGCTTGTCAACAATGTAAAAACCATTATCATGATTTTACCTATTAAATACCATACTTTCTCCGAGAGCATATGGTTGGTATTTTATGGGTAAAATCACAAAAGTTGCAATAACTCTTGAATAGTAATCTTTACAGTAAAGGTGGTTGTACCATTCTGTTTAGAATCATAAGAACTATAAAATTATAAACTTCTAAACTAAAAAAAACTAAACTACCGGCGCCGGACCCCGTGTGTAACGTTTTTAATGTATTGGCCATGTTTATAAATGTTTTTTCGTACCGTTCGTGTGTTATGTGTTTTTCGGTGTTTTCAAAAATTGACGACCTTCACGTGAGGAAAATGTTTTAACTTTTTGACCTTCACCTGATGATTTGCTCCACGAGCACGAAACTGCAGTAGTGACAAACTACACGCAAGGACCATATTGACAGAGGTAAACTAAACCATTATTATTAAAAAAAAACTAAGCAAAAATTTTAAAACTAAGCTTTTTTAAAAAAATTCTATTTTTTTTTAACAGTACCTAATTTTTACAGTAATAAGGGTTGAAAGGACTATTACATACAGTACTAAATTTTATCAAAATGGTTCAGGCCATTTTGAGAAAATTTGATTTTTCCATTATTTTATGGGAGAATCACACTATCTACAATAACTTTTGAACAGTAATTTTTGCAGTAGTGGTGGTTGTAAGGTTTTGTTTGGAGTTAAAAGGACTGTACCATAAAAATGTTAATCAAATGCGTTGAGGTTGTTTTTGAGAAAATTTGATTTCTCCCTGTTTTATGGGTTTTTATGAAAAATCACCATAAAAATAAAAATTACAAAAAAATCAAAAAGCGCCTGGATATACCATAGATTAGTACCCATACAAACCAAATTTCATCAAAACAGACCACAGGTACACATCCACACATACAGAGACATCACTTAAAAAAAAACACTTTTACTTTCTCCCCCTATACCATAGTATATGGAGAAAGTATTGTTTTCGTCAAAATTTTCGAGTTTGAGTTTTGAGTGGATATATTCGTTTTGGGTCCCCCTGGACCCAAAAAAGTGGTTTTCAAAGTGATGTCTCTGTGTGTGTGTGTGTGTGTGTGTCTGTGTGTCTGGATGTGTACAGAGCTAGAGACTACACCTGTGGGCCGATTTCGATGAAATTTGGTATGTAGGTTCTAATCCATGGTATCTCCAGGCGTTTTTTTCATTTTTTTGAAATTTTGATTTTTAATGGGGATTTTCCCATAAAAACCCATAAAAAACCGGAAAAATTGGATTTTCTCAAAAATGGCCCGAACGATTTTGATAAAAATTTAGTAAGTTGTAGCCCTTTAAATTCTGAATAAAATGGTACAAATCCCATTTCTGTAAAAATTACGGTTCAAAAGTTATGGTCAAATATGTTATTTTTCCATAAAAACCCCATAAAATAACAATACCCCCGCCGCAGCAAACCTGCAGACTAAGCGAATTTCCATTTGACTGATTGGATTTACACTGAAATGTCTACTTAAAAATATAACATTTATTCCGGATTTAAATAGAATTAGTTTAACACGTACTTAGGTTTGCTGCATCAGGGAGGGTAAAATTGTTTTTTTTTTGTAAAATGTTAATAGTTAGTAAGAAATAAAAACATTTTCCAAATGTGATCAAAATATGTTCATAAACAAGCAAACTACAACAGTTTACTTATTCTCCATAAGAATAACATGGGAATTTTAAATTTACAATTTTTTGGAATTTTCTCCGTAACCGTTAGGCGCATAATAACGCTTCAATATACTAAATTATTTGTTTTTTTAAGCTCTACAAAATGGTTTGGAAATAAATTGCAAAATTTTAAGTTTTTTGGGTCAAAAATGGGAAAAACCTATTTTTACCCCATAAAACCCCCCGTAAACACCCGTTCACATGGTCCGATCATGCTGGATCGCGAACTCGTTCGAATAAACGTAGGTTTACACGTTTGTACCAAATTTCATCAAAATCGGATCATTTTTGCTTGAGTTATCGTGCTGACGGACACATATATATATATATATATATATAAATATATAAATATATATATATATATATGAATTTGAACGGATGGTGTTTTTGGCCTCTAGGGACCTCAAAACGAAAAAAAAAATCGGTCCCGCGTCCAGGTCTTACCATGAGTACTACGGTAATAGCTTATTCCCTATATGGGAAATTCGCTAAAAAATAGGATTTTAGAAAAAAACCCGGTTTTGATTTATAATAGTATGATATGATCCTTACAATTTTGATAGTTTTTTTATTTTTAGAAATTTTTATTTTTAATGGGGATTTCACCATAAAACCCCATAAAATAACGGAAAAATAGGATTTTCCCAAAAATGGCCTTCAATTTTGATAAAAATTTAGTATGTTATAGTCCTTTATATTCGGAACAAAATGGTACAAATCCCATCTCTGTAAAAATTACGGTTCAAAAGTTATTGTAAATTATGTCATTTTCCCATAAAACCCCCATAAAATAACAGAAAAATTGGATTTTCCCAAAAATGGCCCGAACGATTTTGATAAAATTTAGTATGTTATAGTCCTTTAAATTCTGAACAAAATTTTACAAATCCCATTTCCGTATATTTACTCTCACCGCTTACAAATGATAAAGGTTGTTGACAAACTTATGGGAGAAAGTATGTGTCAGAATGCTGATACCGTTTATTTTGGGTTGTGTGAGACACAAACGGAATATACCCACCCAAAACTCAAACTCAAAAATTTTGACAAATACAATACTTTCTCCATATACTATGTATAGGGGGGAGAAAATAAAAATGGATAGGATTAACTGGGTGTGAATTGTGTAAAGATCAAAGAGTTTGTTTTCTCATTTGGTATATTTGAAAACTAGATAGGTCTAAATTTGATTGTTTTCAAGTGTTTGTTTGGGGTTTTTTTTGTGGAGGTTGCTGTACAAATAAACTATGATATGGGACTGGAAAGGTCATAAAACTACGTATTCAACCTAAATGCAAAAGTTTCACCCGAAATCAGTGTCCAAACTACAAACTGATTCAACAATTTAATTTTGAGGTTAATGTAAACTTACCATCCCTACATAACATCAAAAGGCCCTTTACTACATTGCGTGACCCAGACTGTCATACATGAAGCTTGCAGGTTACTTAATTAACTAAGAGGTCCTGCCCCCCCCCCCCCCAACCACCCTCATCTGATAACCAGCACCTTTATAATCTCATCTGTCCAGTGTGTTGACTCATTTGCTAAATGAGATGTAGCAAGGGTGAACCAGGGAAAATTATCTCATGATTCTTCCCTGTGAGATCATTACCTTTATAATAGAAAGAAGTTAAATAAATAAAAGATAAATGGCGTGGTGCTGGATATCCAAGTTTAATGTGATTTCAACTAACCTATGGATAGTTCTAATTTAGTTTATAATTAAGTTCATAGTTTTTTGGGTGTTAAATGTTTTGGAATGAGTTCAAAATAGGTGGACACGGTTTTTAAACAAGTTTTTATTTACAATCTGTATTCTGCGTAATCATTGTGGTAAAAAAATTCGGAGAAATTAATTGTTAAGGTTATTTGATATAAATAATGGTAATTGATTGAAAAATAATGTGTCTTGCAGCCTTATGAACAAACTTTGTCACTTTATTCAGAATGTCAAAAGAAACAAAAAATGTAATAACATGTACCGGTATCCTATCTCATTCAGTTTTCAGTCTATCTGCCTGTATGTGATTTTACAAAAACATTTATAACTCCTTAACTATTTGAGCTACAGCGTTGAAATTCTGTAAAAATGTTTATCTTATTGACCACTAATTCTTCCCAAAATATAAATAAAAACTCTTGAAACATTTAAAAATTGCGGCTTTTAATATTTGATGCCAAATTCCTGTTAATTTAACAAAATATTTGCAAGACAATGATATCTTATAAGCTTAGTTTGGATAAAGAATAACTGAGAAATTGATATTGTTTTACTCCATTTAAACAATGTTAAAAAGTAGTTTTATCAATTTAACATTATGCCCCTCGACTTGCAAGCATCGGATTTATATATTAACACAGGTAAAATGTCCATGGAAATAAACAAAGTGTTAATTAAGTTCTAAGACTATGGACTCTTGACTCCTTTGCACAGGCTTTGCCTATGTGGGAACCATCCATTTTTTACAAGTTGTATCCTGTATAACCCGGGCCACTTTTGTAAGTGGGGCGCAAAAGGTTTTAGGTTTTTTGGGGGTGCAAGTGAGAGAAAAAATCCCCCACAAGGGGGGCTCAATTATCTCTCGGGCCTGTGGCGCATCACATGCAAACCGCGGGGCTGTTTTAACAGTTTTTTCTTGGAATAAATTATTTTGATTTGATTTAATCAGATTGTTATCTAGGGGGCAGTATGTGTTGTCCAACACCAGTGTGCCAATGGGAGATATATCCCCTGTAACACTTGGACCCGAGGGAAGCAAGGTAGCTAGACTGCTGCTGGTTGTGGGACTGGCTACAGTGGGTAGTGTGGGCAATGTCTACATGATCAGTGCTGTCATCGTGGAGGACCATCTGAAGAAAACAGGTAAATCTTACGAGACAAGACGTAAAATGTAGCTAAAGTCTAGTGCCACAGTTACTTTTGACTGTCGTATATTCAGAGCAGTTATTATTACAGGTCTTCTGATGAATGGCTGACTCTCTGGTAGGACAGTTTACAAGATTAACTGGGGTATCTGGATTTGGAAAATATTTAAGGGGAATATAGCTAAAATTTAGATTCAAACTGGTTAATATAGATTTATCTTGAGTATAGTGATTATTTTAGAGGCTCTCATGAAGAAACGGGTTCAGTAACCATATCAGTTAATATAACCGTTTTACAAAATAGTCTGGAGAATTGGGTACAATCCCAAAATCCTGATATTTCTTCCAAATGAAAGGTCTGTAATCTAGATATATTTTGTCTTTTCTCTGGAGCAAGTGCTGACAGAACTTTTAAAACTGTTACTCCACTATCATAGCTAATAAATAGAAGTTGAGAAACCATGCTTTGTACTAAAGCTTCAATAACATTCTACACACTCCCATGGTGGATATACTTATAATTTTAACACGATCCCTTCCAGCCGTCACACTCCTCTATGTAAAGGTAGTGAATGTGTCAAAAAATAACACTGATCAAAGGACAAGCAGTAACATCACGAGAAATGCAACCTGAATAATACTTCGTTCACAAAATTTAGATGGTTTGAAAGGAATTCTGTCCTCTCCGATTGCGAACTATGAAACAACAGCTAAACACGCTAAAAAAGTGGTGGGGAGACATAGGAATACATCCCCTTATCACATGGACTGCTGAAAATGTTTAATTATTGCGTTCCAAATATGCTACATTCACACAATGAAATTAATATTAATAATCACAAATTGGGTCTACTGTATGGATTGGAAGGTGGTGAACACGCAATGAAATGGGGAGAACTGCCCTATGCGCACAAGTGATTCTCACCAGTAAATGCTGAGCTCACACTGAAGCAATAAAATACGTGTCGGTAAGGGCTTGGATCCGCACTTTCAGCACTAGTTTTGCGGGGCATGGATCCACGCCATGCGCAGTCAATGTGTTAAACCGCCCAAATTTTGCAAATGGACTATAATTGGAGGCATGAACTAAAGTATAGTTTGTTTGCAGGTAATACATTTCTGGTAAACATAGCCCTGGCAGATTTGCTGGTGACTGGTATTGTGATGCCTGCGTCTGCTGTAGTCATCTTGGCTGGACTACCAGACTCCCCCCCTGTCTGTCACGTGCAATGGTTCCTGGCTATACTCTGCTGGATAGGTAAGTTCATGACAGATTGACGACGATGGCATTTTTTTTTTTTTTATCACGGTGTCATTATAGTTTATTTATGTACTACGAGTTCAACTACGTCCATTTCTATTCTAGCTTTACCATGGGGATGGAGTGTCTAGTTCTATCAATAGACAAATATTTTACTTTTGACTATATTTCTGGTGGGACCTTATAGCTGTTCACGACACATCAACTATCTTAGTTATTAAAATCCATGTTTTATGCCCCTGAGATGTAACGTAACTAAAAAGTAGTGTTTGGTCAATCAACATAAGTTGTAACTGTTGAGGCAGTTTCGGTATCACAATGCCATCATCAGACATTCAAATCTTGCCTGATGCAGCATCGTCAAAGTTAGAACACATAACGCACTTGAATATTTACTTTATGAATAAAAATTACAAATCAAACAGGCCTGTAGCACACTTGATACTGGTTGACCATTGTCACGATCTGAGCAAACGACCCGGGAACGAACTAGGAATCTTCCAGTCAGCATCCCTTTAAATGATTCCATCTATACCTTTAATTAAATTTATAACCATTAAAAAACTATGTTACTTCATTTTCAAAGTTGATATCATTGAAAACCCCTTTTTCAATGAACTCAAGTCATGTTTTCTACCATGTTTGATCTCAGTGACTGTGCTCACTCTACTGGCTGTGTCGGTGGAAAACTACGCTCGTCTATGCTCCAGACCCGAGCGCTACGCTCTACTGACCCCGTCGAGTGTCACGCTGGTCGTGCTGTGTATCTGGATCCTCGGCACCGGAGCGACTGTCGCTCAGTCTGTCTACGATCTTGGGCCTGACTACTGCGGCAGAAAGGTATCTACTTGTCACGTTCCAATGTAAACAGTTGATTTTCCATCTTTGTATAGAATCCAATGTATGTGTTTGTTTGTCCTTTACGCGTTACCAAACCGGCCATCCGATCGGGATGAAACTTTGGGAATTTGTTCTATAAACTCCCAGGAAGGGTTCTGTCCCAATCCCGTTCTTGAACTCCTTTGGAGATCTGCCCCAGTGGATCTGGAACTTCTCATATTGAATATTTCAACACTTGATGGATTTGAAATTAAACTGCTTCGCCAAGAATAAAAGCCAGTAGAGAAATGGAGGATGATGAACATTGAATCCCTATGCTAAGCTGAAAGGTACAATATTAATATTTGAATAAATAATAAACCAATTTAAACACATGTTTTTTTATTCCAAAAAGATTTCTGGAGCAAAAAAAATCTAAATTCGACCAAACAAGTGAAACGATAAAAATCCAATTTTTTTACGTAACCAAAAAGAGCTTTAGATCAAGATTAAGTTTAACTAACCGGGTGCTTGCTTTGTAACTATTAAAGAGCAATTCAGTAATCAATATGTAGAATTTGAATAAATCAATGCTGAACGCATAGCTGTGATTTCGTTTATAAGTGACAAAGTCTTTATAAGAATTTCCAGTGCAGTAAAGTCCCTAAATATTTTTTTCGCAAAGCAAAGTAAATTAGTACAACCCTATCTATGCCTATACTTTCAACTAGATACTGACCTATATGAATCTATGGCTAAGTAATCAAATTAATGATGGTCTAAGTAGCTAAAGAAAGCTATATTACATATAACAAAAAAACCAAAGCTAACAGTTAGTATTATAAATGGAAATAATCCAATTGTGAGATTCTCTTCTAAAAGAAAATACCCCGCCGCAGCAAACCTGCAGACTTAGCGAATTTCCATTTGCCTGATTGGATTTAAACTAAAATGTCTCCTTAAAAATATCACACTTATTCCCTATTTAAACAGAATTAGTTTAGTGAGTACTTAGGTTTGCTGCAACAGGGAGGGTAAAAATTTTTTTAATGTAAAATGTTAAAAAGTACTGTGGTTTAGTACAAAATGTATTTTTCAAATTTGATCAAAATATGTTCATAAACAAGCAAACTACAACAGTTGACTTATTCTCCATAAGAATAACATGGGAATTTAAAATTACAATTTTTTTGAATTTTCTCCGTAACAGTTAGGCGCATTATAACGCTTCAATATACTAAATTATTTGTTTTTTTAAGCTCTACAAAATGGTTTAAAAAGAAATTGTGAAATTTTGTGTTTTTATGGTCAAAAATGGGAAAAACCTATTTTTACCCCATAAAACCCCCCATAAACACCCGTTCCCATAGTCCGATCATGCTGGTTCGCGAACTCATTCAAGTTTATCCCGCCTTACACCTTTAAACCAAATTTTATGAAAATCGGACAAAAATTACTCAAGTTATCGTGCGGATGGACACATATATATATATATATATATATCTATATATAGATATATAAAAATTTGAACGAATGGTGTTTTTGGCCTCTGGGGACATCAAAATGAAAAAGTAAATCGGTCCCGGGCTTAGGTCTTACCATGAGACCTACGGTAATAGCTACTTCCCTATAGGGAAATTCGCTAAAAAAACAAATAAATTTGTTAAAGAAGGAGGATGAAGAAGAGGGAATGCAGAGGAACCATGCAGCAGTGGCAACAACCGTCGTGGCAATCATCGCTTTATTCACCTCCGCCTTCTACCTAGCAGCCACTTACCAGGTTTGCCAACATACCATATAAATTAATTAAGCATTATGTTACCAGTTACAACTACAGTGGAACCTCGATAACAAGTGACCCTTGATAACATATTGTGTAGTTCACTTAGATTTTATCTACCCCTTATCACATGTTATAAAAAAACCTTGATAACAAGTATTACTTAATAATCCCCAAGAGAGTCTTGTTATCGAGGTTCTAATGTATCTGTAAAACTGCAACACACTTGTGTCTAAGTGACCTGAGTTCATTTTCCTAAATTTATAAAAAAATATGTACTAAATAAAAAGTTATTTGCAGTAATTTTAAAAAGTTACTAGTCCCCTTACTGTATAAACATTGCGCCATCACACTAAACCAAGTTTAGCGTTGTTTTCATCTGGGTGTGGAATCGCGTTGACCTAGTTTGAAATGCTCATAACGAGCCATCATTTACTAAATAACTCTAACTCAGAGTTTCAACCCACAGTAACAAGACTGAATCTACACTTAAATTTCCAGGAGCTAGCCATATTAATTCAAGGTTGAAAAGGCCTACTTCTTACAGGGAAGTTCCGTTGTTGGATCGAGGGGATTAAGTTCTTATTTCAGCCACATGTATCCCGGACATTGTCCAGGTTCTAAGGGAGAAGAATTGATTATCAGCTAGCGAGCAGTTTATAATGTTGCATGACAGATATTAATTGGTGTCACCATAATTACACACTGCTAACTGTTTACACTGTTTAAAGTAATATTTTATGAATGTAAGTTATTTGTAGATTGATGTGTAGTCACATAAAATATTCTGATGCTTTATACTCACTCAATTATTTAGAAACTTCAATATAGCATTGTTGTTGGATACTATTACAAAATTTGGTTCAAGGGGTCAAATTTAACAGCTATCATTGGCTTAAATAGATGGAGATTCCTGACTGGATTGAGTTGGTAGTGTAAGAACAAACATTTCAAGATAAGAAAGTGGGGTGTGTTGCTAGTCTGGTGGTTATCGTCTCAGACTTCAGTGGAGGGAAGGGTTCAATCCCAGGCATATCCAAAAACGCTTGATGCGTTTAGACAGCTTTCCCTGAAAAGTATTTGTAACAACTTAACTAATAGCCACTAGCATAGAAATACGAAAATGTTTCACTTTACTGAGCATTTTTTATAGTAAAGTATCTTTGTGTTAGCTTAAATCTAAGGGATACAAATATTAGACATAAATAAATAAACATTTCTCAAAGAGTTAATTTTTTTGCAGACTACTTAAAAGGTGTTTCTAACAGTAACTGCTGACTTTAACACGATCACTACATGTTAAAGGTGTTATCTGCCTAAGGAAATATTTTTCACAACAATATTAAATTCAGATAACACTGTAAAGCCCATACAAATGTCCCCAGGTGCGTTCTGCTCATCTCAACCCTAGCTTCAAGCCTCCGCTAGCCTTCACCTGGGACTACTCTTTAATGAAGACAAACATCTCTAGTTTCATCCTCTTCTTCGCGTTCTGGCTCCCCTTCGGCATCGTCCTGGCGATCGACTCCTCCCACCAGGTTTCGTCCAAACTCTTCTACATCCTCGCGTGGTTTGCACTCAGCAAGTCCTGCGTGAACAACATTCTCTACGCAGCTTGCAACCGTCACTTCCGCAGCGCCTACCTCAACCTCTTCCACTACTGTTGTTGCAAGACTACCGTAGCTTTCTCCAGGCGGCCACGAGGAGAAGTCAGACCCTCGGGAGATGTCCGGGTTCACATCATCCCTGGATACAACATGTACTCCTACACCAGCCCCCAGCGGGCCAGTAGGGAGAGTAAGTCCTCGGGTAAACGAGGATCCAATTCATCTCGCTCCCAGCGAGCCAACGGTAGAGAAGTCTACCAGTTATGATCTGTGTTATGTTAAAGCTTCCCAATGTTTGTATAGCTGATGTTGCGAAAACTTTGTGGTTGAAAATAATGTGTTTCACAATGAAAATATTCAATCAGCTTTACATATGAGTAATGTGTAATTTGAAAATTGCAAACAACCAAACTAGTTCTAAACGGGTGAAAGGCTAAACATCATGCAAGCTAAAAGGTATAAAAATGTAAAGTGTTTGAACCTTTGACTATGTATAGATAGACATTCCCATTTTAAGCAGTAGGTGGTTTTCTGGATAAACCAAACGTACTTAAATTGTTTACTGACAAGAGTGTATTGATCTAAGCCACTGATTTACACCAACTTTTTAACCAAGCAAAACTAAAAATACTTATTGCAAACTATATCATCTTAAATGTGACTAGGTATTGAATAGAGTTTAAGACTGTAGCGCTCTCTTTGATTGGCTGATTCAACTACGTTCTTCTGGGAACAAATTGTCTACAGCTGGTCTATATCGATGGGATGTCTATTAAAGTATGAAAAATTCATTATAATGAGTACTACACGTGATCGTAAGATTGCATACAAGTAAACGCATAAAAAAGTTGATTGTAATTTTTACAAGCTAAATAATACAAACGAATTAAATGTTTGAATCCAATTACAACTGTCCAAGAGTATAAAAGCTCTGCTTACAAGAAAAAAATACCTTATGATGTCATGTCTTATGTTACCTGAAAGTTTTAACACGATATATTCAACCACCAAGATTGGTTTGTGCTATATTTGTATGTTGAATGTTAAATGTTGTAACGTCCATTACTCGCATCTCCATAACAGCTTGTGTACAAGAATCGTCGGTTCAGCTCAACATGAAGCACAAAAACGTTTTTCCCGCTAATCTACAGTACTTTTACACTAAAAGGTATATTTTTATAAAATGTTTTTACGTTATATAGAACACTTGTGGACCAATAATGTACTCGAGATGTTTTTCATTATCTTGAACTGTGGAATGTTAGATTAAGATGCTATTTTAGGAAATTTTATGCTTAAGGTTCAATAGAAGATGCCGATGTAATTGTTCGATGAATTGTTTTAGATCAATAGACGAAGAAATTTGACAGGGTAAACAGTATTCTAAATGTTAGTACAGTTTTACAATACAGTTTCAAACTGTCTTTAGAATTTTAAGACAAGTTTGTATATTAAACCAACATCTAGTTTCATTACCAACATTATCGTTCTAAAGTTTGTACGGCAATTTTTAGGCAAAATCTTTTAAAATAGACTTTCTAATTTCAATAGTATTTCAGAAATCTTATTAATCAAGTAAAAACTATGATTAAATTACTATGATGGATAACTTGATCAAATTAGTAAAAGAAAAACCAACTAATCCATATACTTAAATCATAATCATGTTAATTAGCACATGTACAGAGATTAAATTATTAGAATAACCTCTAAGTTTGGTACACCGGTAGTTAAAACGCATTCAATAACCTCATTTTTCGGGAGAATGTTTAACTAATTTGTATTAAAAGACTTAACACTTTGATTTAGTCAAACAATGATTTCTGTTCTTTGACTATTTTTATATTACTGAATGAATTGATTGGATTAGTTATCGATTGAATTGATTTGCAACCAAACAAAACTAAACATAATAACGTTGCTCTAAAACTATATTGTGTAAACTGTAGCAAAAAAGTTTCACAAACCGTCCCATTCTTGATTAAATTTAAACGTCCTTAAAAATCCATCTAAAACCAAAAGTGATAAGTTAATTCTATGATACAAGAGTCTGAATCAATCTTTATACACGTTTTACAATATTTCTACATAGATAAGAACTCTCTAGTGAACTGTGATAACATAGATTGCTAAAAGTGATAGTGAGCATTTATAACTATGTATTTAGATTAGAAATTTTATAAAATGTTTTGTTTGGCTTTAATACTACAGTACTTGACGAGAGATATTTTTCCATGTTTGCACTGGCATTCTGTAACTAAAGTAACTCAATCAATTTCCTTGACATTTTTAGACAAATTATTGGGCGACTACCCTAAAACAAGGTATACATGGTATATGTGAATTGCAGATCGAAAATTTTGTACTTTATCCCAAGTTCAGTAACCAGTTATGAGATAGTGGTGCTATTACCATTACTAACAATATGTTTATTTGAGGCTACTTGCCTTTTTTCATTGCCTAAGTTCTTGAGCTGAGTTTGTATTTATCCTATAACATTTCACCAGCTTGTATGGCATCTTCAGGGCGTCCTTCTATAACACTAACAATAAATCATTTATCTATTGTCCATTTCGACAAAATATTTACATTTCTACAGTGTTCAATAGAAGACCTCCTGAAAACTACACATGAGTTGGCAAAGTATAAGGTGAACACAAACCTTAGCTCAAGAACGAAGGCAAAGAAAGGTAATTAATTTAATTCAAGTTCTTGAAACTTGCATTAACAAAAAAAATATTGTCTTGAGGGGTTATGTTGTCTGTCTTCACAACCCTCAAGAAGGCGCTGAAGTAAATTTTACTTATTTTAGTACAATTGTTTTTTTTTTTATTGAGAAGGGTTAGTATTTTGGGAAAACTGAGCATTTTGCATATCCTGATGTTTTTGAAACGGCTAGTACCACTGAGACAGCCATATGGATCCTTAGACTTATGGAGGCCTCTTTACAGCAAGTTGAACTAAGAATAGACCTGTGGGCTGGCTAGTCAAGCATGAATAACGAATCGTGCATTAATAAATAAGCGCTTTGTTAATGACAACAAAAAGCGAGGGCCTTAACGCTGAGATTTAATGCATCAAAACCATCCAGTGTTATTTCTGTACATAACACATTTATTTAGTTTTTTTCATTTAACCTCAAATCATATGACGTCCTAAAAATAGTGATCTGAAATAAGCTACAGTAATATTAAAATTTCTCAACATAGTCCCTAGACTATTATATCCAACAAGTGATACCACAGGCCTCCTAAATTCAGTGCTACGTCACTGTTTGTGATTCGAGACCACTTTACAAATATTCTTTTAACTGCACAAACACCAGATATGAGGTTAAATTTTCCATCCGCAACACTAAAAATGTTGCCTCTAGTTTGTATTCAATCTATCGGGTATGCATTGTAAATTAATTGTAACTTTAATGTTGAATGGTTTATGTGGATGTAGTGTTATCCTTGATGGTCTGTGTAGTTGTTTTGGCAAACCTGGGATTTAATTTGGTTGCAGTGGCAACACTGGGATTTAATTTGGTTGTAGTGGCAACACTGGGAGTTAATGTGGTTGTAGTGGCAACACTGGGATTTAATTTGGTTGTTGTGGCAACACTAGGATTTAATTTGGTTGTAGTGGCAACCCTGGGATTTAATGTGGTTGTAGTGGCAACCCTGGTTTCAACAAGTGCCTCTGCCTCTGCCCTGCCTTCATGTTGCTTGTATTTACATTTTCATTTGCTATGTACTTGTACTTATAAAACGAGTCTTACCTCTCTTAGCCCATTATTTATGAACCTTTATACTTTTTAGAAATATGTACGACAAAAGGGTAAAAAACATTTTTGAGTTAAGTAAAGAGTGTAACACATTGTACAACGGCCTGTGTTTCAGGATTTTTGTTGGGATAACATTAATAACAGTTTTATTTGAATTGGTAAAAGTCCATCCTGGTAGTTGAAAGAAACAAATGTAAAATATTCCCTTCAAATTATGAGATGTATTTCTTATCTAAATAACATTAATTTTAATGAGTACCTACTTAAGTTTGCTGTTACAGAGAAGGTAAGAAGGTGAGCTTTTTATTGAAATGTTGATAGCTGAGTATGAAATAAACAAATTTATCAAATTCGATTAAACTATAACCATCCATAAACAAGCAAACCATATTTTAATTATTATCCATAAGAATAACATGAGAATTTTTTATTCACAGTTTTTCGGAATTTTCTTAGTACCTAACCGTTTTTCATACAACAATTTCTGAAAAAAAAACTAAAAAATAAAACTAAAATAAAAAAAATAAAAAATAAAATATTATTTTTCATAAATTCTGAAAAAAATATGTTTTAAGGGTTGAAAATGTTATGTTTACTGCAATAACAAAGTACTCTCGGTAAAAATTATAAATAATTGTTGTTTCTTTTACCTCAGGCGTAAATGTGATGACACCTAACAAGTTTATGACAGGCAGTAAATCCTTAACAAAGAGAACATAAAAACAACTGTCCAGGCTTTACGAGCCTGAGAAACAATCATTAAAGGCAAGCCTTTTAACTTACACAACCTGCAGATATACCACAAAAACTTTCCGCTGAAATCTGTGTATCAAATGAATGTGTAGTAATGCTATTACGAGGTAGATATAGGCATAGTAGGCTATTACCTAAATCAAGAATTATTTACCAACTTACGCTTCAAGAAACTAATTAGTTAGCTACAACATCTATATACATATATAAGAGAAGTTATATACATGAGGTACATTGTAAGTAAATTAAACTGTTGTCGAATTGTTACAAGTCTGTCTCAAACATTACAACAAACACTGAATGAGTAACTTCTGATTAACCTGTTTAACTTAAGTGAGAAAGGGACCATTTTTTAAAATTTAGAACTGAGGATGAGAGATCTGTTAACACATTTGTTCTTTTTAAATGTTTTGGCTTATCGAAGACATCCAAGCTATCAACTAAATTTAAACTTGAAAGTACACTAATGTATTTTACTTTTACTTGTAGAGGTTTACTTTAGAGTCAGGTAGAAAAAATACCAGATGGCTATATACATATAAAAGGGTATTTAATTCATATTTACAGATAAATAAGTATTGGCCATAAATAAACGCATACCTCACTTTAGTTTAGTCTTGGTTTCTTCTCTGGTGGAGGTTTCATACTTTCTTGTTTAATCTCCTGTTTGATTTCTCTTGGTTCGGTTTTTATTTCCGCTGAAAATTTTGAAGGTTAAATAAATCCAAAGAATTTACAATTTTATATAAATTGATTGGCTTATACCTACATAGTTAGGCAACGAGTGAGAAGACTGCTAGAACAGATATTTCTATGAAAAGGTTTAAATATAGATGACCTAGTTGACGTCCAGACCAAAAAATAACTGGAACGGAAAGAAGGAGAAGCCTGTCAACAACCTTTATCATGGGTAAGCGCTGGGAGTAACTATAATATTTAATTGGGAAAATAACAAAAATTGCAATAACAATAAACTGTAATTTTTACCGCAAGGGGGGCTGTACCTTTTGTCTAAAATTATAAATTCCATTACATACTTAAATTTCAAAAACATGAAAAACTTCTGGAGATGCCATGGATTATACTAAATCTCATAAATACCAAATTTCATAAAAATCGAACCACCGGTGTGGTCTGTGACTCGTCCACACACAAACAGAGGACATCACTTTGAAAACCACTTTTTTTGGTTCAGGGGGACCCAAAAGGATACATCCACCCTAAACTCAGACTCAAAAATTTGACAAAAACAATACTTTTTATATACTATGTATAAGGGGTGGAGAAAGTAAAAAATGTATATTATTAGAAGAACCTATTGCCTACTGGAAAACAGCTTGGACAGGGAAGAACTAGAGCATTTGATTACCAAGATCTCTAGATATATAGCTTAAGTTTAGACTGTTAACCATAAAAAAAGTTTGAGTAGAATCATAACGAATCATCGGCACTTTGTAAAATAGAGACCAACCATTCAACCAGATATATCAATTATTCCTTTTGGAATCTGACAACGTGAAAAAAAAACATTACAAACTTACGTTCAGAAGGAGGTGGTTTGGTGGCCGGAGGGGGCTGCATTATCGGCAAAGGGAACTTGTGTATCAACTCCCCCAACAACATATCCACTCTCTGTCTCTGGAACACTGAGCTCGGCTCCTCACGTTGCGTCTCTTTCTTCACTTTGGTCGTGTCGCCTCTCAACTCCCAGGTGTATCCCTTGCTAGGGTGGTACCTGCTGTAGCCCATCGCCTCGTCTAACGCTGACTGCAGGTGATGCACTGACGCCAGCTGTAAGTTACCATATGCTCTGATTTGGTTAATTTAAACGTTGACTCTAATTTTGCTATGCTTTATTGTAAAGTTTTACAAATTTAAAAGTACCGGTACCTAGTGGTCTAGTGGTTACCCTGTAGGATGTACACAAACTAAAATCAAATACTATAAAAATTTTAAAAAAATATTTTCACAAAAACATGGACTAAGCGTACCATGTCCACGTGAAAACAAAAATTTATAAATAAAAAAGTAGGCCTACTATTTATGGTAATGTTAACCTCAATTAGCATCCTCCAAAAAATTCAGGATTTATATTGTCGTGAATTTGTTAGAGTCAAACTTTATCCAATGTCACCAAAATCATTAAATATGTGAAAAGTGAAGTGCTATAGGCAATAAAATAAACCTAGAGTGCATAAAATAGTCATAAATAATATCTGTGATTTGGAGATAATTATGCTTTGGTGAAAGGTATTTTAAAAATACACAAAATGTCCATCAGCAGCCCAAACAAAAGTAGGAATTCCCACAATTTCTAAGTTTCAAAGTGGTACAATTAAGTTTTTAAACTTAACAAAAATGTAAGTATAAAATGGTACGTTATTATTTTACACTGACTTTCACTAGGTACTTACAATTCTTGAATTTATGATATTGGAGAGGTCTGGAGCTTGATAAATGATGCCTGCGATGATGTAATAGTCTGCAAGTGGCGTTGCTTGTGTGGGGGACGTGCGGTGTTGCTTGCGGACAACGTACAAGATTGGATCTTGAACATGCAATAGTATGTACTCGTAACCCGTCATGTTACTGCAACAGACAAAAGTAAATGCATTATAAACATAACAGATCTTTTGGAATTGGTATTCTCCAACCGTGAATGTTAACAGTGTGATTGGATTGAACAGATGTTCCCTGAACCAATCCTCTATGGCGTGAAGGAGTCACAAGAGTTTTCACTGCACAATTTGGAAAAGTTAAGTAGCTTTGGTATAGGCCTACGTGAAGATTATTACTGTAGGCTTATCACTTATTTTGACATTTTTGAAAATTATTTAAGTATTGTAAATACATCAATTTAGTAATGTGTTATGTGCAGCTGGTCTAAATATAGATAGAGCTTACGGTTTCTGTCTTTAGACCCAGGGTTAGATCCCCTCACGCGAACGCCAAATTGGCAATTCACTATGATGAACGTTACTTACCATTAAAGGGCGTGATAAGGTAGCATCTATATATTAATAATATTGAATATTCGTCCAGGTGACTTTAACCTCCACCTCAACGAAAATAGCCATCCTACATTGAATTTTACAAATCTAATGCTCTCTTATGGTCTTTTCATAGTGAACAGAAGTCCTACAAGAGGAGCAAACTGCCTGGACACAATAGTGACTGATCTACTGCCATCTGAATTTGAGGTAAATATCACGGACCCATTGATATCTGACCATAATGCCATCATCATGAATATGAAGACTTCCATGGTAAGTGATAGTCATTCAACTTATCCATCATGGTATAACCATTACATGTTCTATAGAAGACCTATAAATTAAATTCATTATTGCATCCTCAATGAGGAATTGTCTAGAATAGATTGGGAGGAAATCATTAGTGATAAGTTGCCAACACATGCTTTTGATTCTAGCTTTTAGGGATGTGTTTGACAGAGTTTTCCCTGTTGTGTCAAAAAAGCCCCCCAAACGAAATACTAAAAAAATACCTAAAACTAGAGCAAATAAAGACTGGTTCACATCTGACCTGGCCAATCTAAGAAATAGAGTTTTACTCCTTGATGAAATCTACAAATCTACTACTGATCTTACTGATAAGCAACGTTATTATCATATGTATCTCAGCACTAAAAAACCTACAGAAATAGTGTAAACAAGGCCAAAAAGGTATCAAATTCAAACTACATTACTCAATCCCATAACCCAAACAAAGCTGCATGGGACCTAATAAACTCTAGCAGGAAAACAAAAACAACTTTCAAAAATAACAATAGCCCTGACAACTTCAATACCTTTTTTATTGATAGCGTCACTGACATTGCTTCAAATTTCACCGATTCCAACACAGATCCAGCCGAAAATGTCCCTTTTAACCCGCTGAATACTTTAGAAAACTGGAAACTTGTAACCTCTACTCAAATTGAATCCATTGTGAAGAACTTTTCAAACTCCAACAGCCCTGACATATACGGGATAAATGTGAATGTTTTAAAGAACACCATTCATTGTATGTCAAAACCTCTAGCTGCTGTAATAAATCTATGTCTTGGAGACGGATCTTTTCCGAACTCTCTGAAGATAAGCCGCACAGTCCCGGTATTTAAGAAGGGTGACTCAAAAGAACTATCAAACTACAGACCTATCTCTTAGATACCAATGCACGCAAAGATCATGGAGTGTATAATCAAGGAGCAACTTGTTGACTTTTTTGAGCGCTCAAATCTTTTCACTGATGACCAGCATGGGTTCCGAAAGGGTAGATCTACGACAACCGCTTTGTTAAATCTAATAACAAAGATAAATGATGCCTTCGACAACAAACTCATGACAAACTTAACCCTATGCGACCTCAGCAAGGCGTTTGACTGTATAGCACATGACGTCTTGTTGAGAAAAATGGAAAGATATGGAATAAAAAACGTTGCGTTAGAGACCTTTCAAAACTACCTAAGGGACAGAAAGCAGGTGGTATCCATAAGGGAAGCTCTATCCAGTGACCTGAACGTCAGCCTAGGGGTCCCACAGGGATCTATTCTTGGACCTGTGCTCTTCCTCATTTTTATAAATGACCTGGGGACTGAGGGAAGAACTTTGTTCTTCGCCAATGACACTACCCTCATCACAAGTAGTAGTAACTTGAACCAACTGAAAAGTGGAACCCTTGAAATCCTTGACGGAGCTAAAGCTTGGTTCTCTAATAACAAGCTAAAAATAAACAATGACAAAACCCAAGAACTGATATGCAGTCTAAAACATCAGAATCCACAACAACAACCTGTGAAACTGCTTGGTTTTTGGCTGTATGGCAAGTTGACATGGGATAAACACATAGGTGAGTTAGATGACAGACTTTCCAGAACAGTTTTCCTTCTAAGGAATCTAAAAAACTTGGTCACTGATACCTACTTAAAATTAGACTATTATGGCCTCTTCCACAGCCTAATGAGCTACGGTGTCATTGTCTGGGGGCACGCTTCGGAGACAAGAACCATTCTGAAAACTCAAAAGGCTGCTATAAGAGCCATAACGTCCAGCGCAAGGCATGAGCATTGCAAACCACTGTTCCGTGACTTAGGAGTGATGACTGTTTACAGTCAATTTATTTACAACTGTCTGGTGCATGTTAAGGAAAACATAGGCAACCTCAGCTGCAGAAACCAACTTCATAATTACAACACGAGAAGAGGAGAAATTTTACACATTCCTTTCTGCAGGCTGAGCAAGCAAAAAGACTGCTATCCTGTCCTTGGCATTAGGCTCTACAACCATCTGGACAAGAACATAAAGTCACTCCCTCTCAGGAATTTTAAAAAGAAAGTCGAGGAACTACTAAAGGCATGGCCTCTCTATTCCATAAGTGAATATTTTGTTGAGGAAAGTGATGAATGGATCTCATGACCTACTGCCATGTTAACCAATTCTAAAGTATTAACACTTTAAACTTTTTTTGACTAAATCCATCCAGTCATTACTGGTCAGCGATGGATGTATGGTATAAGGTATAAGGTAATAGGTAAGAAAGAAATGTTTTATGTTGATCCTCACAACTTAAAGATTGGATTTGATAATAAAAACCTAATTACACTTACTTGAGCTGGTCCAGGCTTGCCCGTTGCATTTTAAGGATCTCGTTGTTGCATGTTCGGTCGTAGAATGGGTTGTTGCGGTCAGAAAAGTAGTCCATAATGTTAGTCGGGTTCAATATAGGAACCCAACTGCTATCATGCCAGGACATTTGAAGCGGGTTGTTTTGTTCTGTGAAATTATTTTAATCTTTATTAGCCTATAAATGCCAGAAGTGCAGCTTCTTTTCATATCAGATCTACATTCTATTCATATTAACTTTAAACTGCCATGAACTATAGGAGTTTGTAGAATAGCTATATTTTGGAGGAAAGCACAAATTTCCTTAAAATACACTAAGCATGAAGTAACCCACCACAACTAACCCGAAAAGATAGTTGCAGGCAATTGATAAAACACAAAAAGTTATCTAAATGTCATATTTTGCCTCAACGAGAGGGCTATTCAGAAAGAATTTAGTGAAACAGTTAGAACATCAAGTTGTGAATAAATGTGTTGTGAATGTGCTACCAACAGGTTTTTTTTCTAAGGTGAATTAGAGGCAACATGTTTCTGAATGAAGTAAGTAAATGGAATAAGTAAGTAGGGCATAGATCTAGTAATTTAGAAATAGGCCTAGTAGACTAAACTAGGCCTAGATAATCCAACCTAGTTTTACAAATTTTATGCTCTGAATCCCATACTTATGAGCAGAGAACCTGACTAAAAGTAAGTCTAGAAAGAATATATTGTTTAAATGAAATACTTCACCTGGCATTATTCCTACCCTCCCGGGCATCATCCCCGCGGGTAGCATGCCGTATGTCTGACTTGGGGACGACAGTTTTCTGTTTTATCTGAAATTACAATATAGGCTATAAATCTTAATACCGGTACCGTACATTTAAATTATCCATTTATATTTATATATTTTTGAAAGGTTAATAACTCTTCAGCAGCTGTTTGAAATTAACGATTAATTAACCTTGCTCTTATGGCGGACAAATCCAAGATGGCCATTAGCTTCTATGGACTCCCTTGGAAAAAATTCAAAACTACAAAGAACATTTCTAATCTCAAAGTATATGCCTACTAGATATTTAAATTATAAATAATAACTTTGGTGTTTGAAAAAAAAATATTTTTGGATGATAAATAACTCTTCAGCAGCTGTTTGAAATCATCCAAGATGGCCGCTAGCCTCCAAGGACTCTTAATTATCAATGAAATGGTTGGCATACTTGTCCTGGCACTTTCAAGAATGTCAATGCCACTATAGGCGAAGTTACAGGGTGTGGTAATGGATGGCAATAAAAAAAAGATTTACCTATAGGCCCTTTCATAATTTTATTGTTCACCATATCGTAAAAAAGAATAGCCTAATTATGTTTAAAAAATAAACTTATGGGGAAAAATATTTAAAAGTTAGGCTAAATTGCATTATGAAGTAGGCTATGGCCTATCCTATAGGATATAGGCTAATGTGCATGGTGTTTAACATATACCGGCCTTACTAAGTTAACATAGGCTATTTTGTATCCTGCTTAAAAGAGGCCTACTCATCGGCCCCAGTCATCATTTATGAATGACTGTTCCCTGCATGACTTATTACTTTAAGAGGCGGTTCACGAGTACGGGGTTTCGTGGCCCGCGGTTATCGTTAATCTCGACCAATTTTAACCGACGGTCAAAAAATGGGTTCACGACATAGAGCGTTAGCCGAGATCAAGCTTAGCCGAGACCAACACTGGCCGCCGCTCAAGAGCAGGGATTAACTGGGAAATTTCGTTGCCGGGGGCCGCTGCTCGTGGTCGACGAGCCCCAAAACAATATTTATTGTTGTTGTAATTCTGAAAATATTTATTTGTTGTTAATGGTTTGATAAATGGTATATGGTAATGTTATATTGTTACTTGTTCATAGTACACATTTTTTGCTGTTGAATTTAGACTAATGTATTAATTACGTTGTTGCTGTTGTTGTAATTATTTGTAGATTTGTATCACATCTTGCTTTGATTTTTATTGTTATTTCTTGGTAATGTTTCAATGTAATGGGTTTCCCGTTGGAATAAATAAATAAATAAATAGGATGACGTTGCGTCATAATGATTGGTTCATAAATTATTATAATTGTACAGTTTATTTACTGATATTGTTGATATTGTTGTTGGTTGTGGACTTGCAATTAAATTCATTTTATACTAAAGTTTAAAGTTACTCAATTTATCTTTGCATTTTGAATAATACACTATTACTGAATACATTGAATCGGGAAAATGCAATTATGTTTAAAAAAAAATGTTTTAACAAATCTTGGTAATGTTTGCAATAAAATTAGGTTACCAATTATGTTCAAAAATAAGACATACTTTATCAGGTTTGCAGTTTTCTCCAAACGTTCAAATTATTTAATAAAATGACTGCTGTTTTCAAAGATTTATGATTATCTTTTATGTATCAGTAATTTGTATAAAAAATCTATTTGGAGGAACAACTGGCTATTATAGGAGCCGAGATGCCTTCATACGTAAACAGTATTAAACGTAAATATAAAATGGCAAACCTACAATAACATTTTATGACACCAAGATCTTTTAAAGCTGTTCACAATTGGGGCCACAAACAGCAGGCCTAAGAACTAAACCCCTTGCATTTGCGCGCGTCAGACGGGTAGAACGCAGCCCTATAAGCATGAGAAAAAAAAAACAGGTGTGAGAAAACAGGTTTTAACCCTCCAAGTGTCCATAGTTTAGGCCTTAATGTCCACCTATTTTTGGCGCATTTGCAAGGTTTTATTAAAACGGATCTGAGAAGCTTAAAACAATGTTAATTCTAATGTTCTATATACCATTTCGTTTGGAAAATCATGGGCTTCAATATTATATATAAAACATAAGGAACATTTAAAAAAAAAAAATTTTTAGGTAAAAAAAAATATAATTTCGAAAATTTTCAAAAAAAAAATAAGTTCGCGCTCAATGAAATTGTATAAATTATAGGCCTATAAATATTTGAAAATAGCCACTTTGTTCTAAATTTTATGAGGATTACAAATATATAATAATATAAGGAAGTATATTTGCAAATAAATAAGTTATGGGCAAAAAACTGATTTCAGTACATAGCGTTTAGCTAAGAATGCATAGCCTAACCATAGATAGGAATCTGGCTGATAATTTACATCAATATCACTACCTACTTCTTCAGGATCATCAACCAGCACTTCAAAACCACTTAAATCTTCTTATAATGCACCACGTATATCACTACTTTTGATTTTTAACACTAAAACAATGATAAACGTAATAAAACACATCAGTCATCGGCCCGGGGGAACCTAGCTGTTTACAAATACACGCACGTCAGCTGTCTGCTACAATATTTTCGGAACTAAAATGAATAGCGCTTAGAGACAGACCTCTGGAGAAAGCTTAGAATATTACGGAAAGAACGATACCTAACTCGATCCAGTTCAATCCGATTCAGTCAGTCATAGAGCCTTCGCCGTAAACGATGTCTGCGTGTCGAAAAATCGACAAGTAACACTACACAAAGTGTGCTGCTTGTCGAATTTTCGTCAAGTAACACTGGGAGGGTTAAAAAATATTTTGTTACAATACAACGTTTTATATATTTAACTGTAGAATTTATCTTTTACCTCAGCAAATTGAAGCAATTTATTGTAAATCCCGATATGACAAATATTAAGACATTATCAGATGAAAATAACAAATGTTAAATCATAAATATAATAATATAAACATATAATTTAAAACATACAAAAAAAATTTTGGATAGGTACTTAAATAAAATGACCTATGTTTTATATAAATTTGATGGAGGAACACAAATTGTACTAATTTTATACAATAAAAATTCTTAGACAAACCTAACAGTGTTTGATGGAACCATTTTTATTTTGATATTATTCAGCTGAAATAAAAGGGTTCAAAATTGCTAAAATGAATATAAAACATAAGATTTGATTGCAATTTAAATTTATATGAATATGTTAAGCTATTAGTTATATTTTTACTTAGTAATAATGAATTAAAATGTCTCAAAGGCTACTTTTTACGATTTTTGTATTTTTTCGGCAATTAGTGGTAAAAAAATTAAAAAAATGAATATCATGTTGAGGGTACCTAATGAAATTGTTCGGAATTTAATGGCGAATCCGAATATAGGCTAACAAAAAAAACAATAAACGAGCAAATGAGATAATCCCGACATGATGTCAACTTAACCCTGCCCCCTAGCAGGGTTAAGTTGAAGTCCAAAACCATTGTAATTTACGTCCGAGATTATCCAATTTGCGCTAGACCATGACTCGTGAACCCGACGTTTGGCCCGGGGTTTTCTCTAATTGAACCCGTGAAGCCGACTTTTTGCGCTCGGGTTTATCCTTGTCATAATTGGGTGAAGTTTAACTGTCTGCGCCCGAGCGCGGCTAACCTCGTACTTGTGAAGCCGATTTCTAAGCCGCGGCGCAAAAAACTGGCTATAACTGGATTTTGCGCTCGAACTAAGGATAACCCGTGACTCGTGAACCGCCTCTAAGTGTCTTTAGCGGATCTCAGTAATTGCAGGAAGCGCAGTGCCGTGCCGGCACCATCAAGCCGATGGCAACGCACTGTAACCTAGTTGAGCACTGGTGCGGAGAGTTAGAAATGATGAGCTACATCACAGATAAAATAACTACCTTAAATTATTAAGGAAAGTGGCAGGCGTAGTCAATGCCTTCAATGTGAGAGTCGCGATTTTAAGGGTACAGTTTCTTAACTGGGCTAAGTTACCCTAATATCCATTGAAACTTTTGATTGAAAATATCGATTAACTTAATATTTTATAGGCTACAGAGGATACGTGTCCGGTAACCGGGCGTGGATTAGGCGTCCAGCAGTGACGTCACCAGGTTATGGGGGCCTGGAACATCATTACCATAACGATACGATCCACGCAGCCATCGTTGTTCGTGGTGTAGTAGACAGAGTGCTCGGCTGATATGCAAGAAGTCCCTGGTTCGAACCCCATCTGTATCTTTAACTTGTTGTCAAAGATCTTGCTTTGAATTCCATTTCTTCTTAACTGTACTTACATCTTTTGTTAGAATTTTTGGCATTTATAATTTTATTTTATGGACAGAATTTAACCTTCATTTGATTTTTTCACTATCAGCAAGTTTGGTTGGTTAGGTTAAGTTATTACAGTAACTGCCAGACGCCTAATCCACGTCCGGTTACCGGACGCGTATCCTCAGCGAATATTTTATTACTAGCCTACTTTTGAAGCTAAATTATTGAATTATGGAGCTTAACTTATGAATCTTTCAACGTGTGTGGAAGTAGGCCTAGGATGAAGTTAGGATCTACATCAACTTACGCCTAAACAAAGACTTTTTGGGGAAAGCGGTAACAACAACAATCCATGTTTTGTGTGTGTGCTGGAAATCAAACCCATCCCTCTCGCACCAAAGTCAGAGACACTAACCACTAAGTTTAGGGGGTTCATGCTAGGCTTAGCACCCCACATCTGAGATGAATTTTTGTTTAAAATAAAAATTACGTTTAATGGCCTACCTTAACTGAGGGGAGGGTTGTCCAACCTTGATTAGTTTGGGTATTATGAGTTAGTTTTAACTTCCAATTGGCCCACTACACTACACTATGCTAGCATGTAGACCTACTTCACTTGGTTAGGTAACCAATGCTAATTCCAATATGGTACTTATTATGCTGCTAGTTATAAATTGATTTAATGGACACGAATTGGAATAATACACTAATTCGTCTCAGCTTGATTGATACCTAACCTCTTGAATCCTTATTTAAAATTATCTTATCTCCTTGACGACAGGACAGACTGACAGAAGACAGAAGATGTTGGATGTTGATGTTGATGTTGGTTGGATTTTTTTTTTTTTTTTAGTTGTCATGCCAATATGTCAATAATTAGGTTCAGTTCAGTTCAGACCAGACGGAATTTGATTTGACTTGATGTTTTTTTGCTTTTTGTTTCTAGAGACAACGAAGTTGGTTTCTGACCCCAAAAATAGGGAGTAAACATATTTTGAGCCCGTTGAGCCCCCCTGTTACTTCTAGAACATTCACACTCATATTTACTCCCTTAGAACCACATACGTGTACAGTACCTCCCTTATTACTAAAAAATACGGTAGATAGAGGGACGGCAATTTCTCCATTAAATTTCTCACCCAAAAAATAGGAGGTGAAAGTATTTTGAGCCCCCTGTTACCTCTTTAACGTACACAGTCATATACACTCCCCAGAGCTATATACGTGTACAGTACCCCCCTTATAACTCAAAAACGACGATGGATATAGGGACAAGGTTTGCTCCATTGAATTTCTCACCCCAAAAATAGGGGATAAACTTAGGTTTGTACTGCCTTACCAACATATTCCATAAAGCCATGCATGTAGTAAAAAGGGGGGGTTTGTCCCTTAACGGGAAAAGGGGACAATATAAGTGTTAAAAAAGGGTGTATTTATATTGAGCGAAATATAATTAATCAATTTAAATGAAAAATATATATTTTTATATTTGGGGGCGTTTTCCCCCTTTGTAAGCAGAAAGAGGGGGTCGCAGGGGGGCGGCAATGGTTCCATCGAATTCCTCGTCACAAAAATAAGGGGTATACACATGGGTTTGTACTGCATAACTGTCAAACTCCTTAGAGCCATGTGCTGCACATGGCAACTACTACATGATGTGCATGTAGTTAAAGAGGAGTTTTGCCCTCTAAGGGGAAAAGGGGGCAATATAAGTGTTAAAAAGGGTGTATGTGTATTGAGTAAAATATAATTAATCAATCTTAATTTAAAATATAAATTGGGGGAGGGGTCATTTCCTTCCCCTTGTAAGTAGAAATAGGGGGTCGTAGAAATGGTATAGAAATTAATGCCAAAATCCACGCAACTCAATCAGAGGAAGTAGTAAATAAATTTCAAAAAAACAAAGAGCGTTATTTTTCTTATAAAAAAGGGCTCTTAAATAAATCAATATAAATTTTAAATGGACAACTGTATATAAACACGGCCGTGGGGTGTATATATAAATATATATTATATAAACATATAATATATATATAAACATATAATATATAAATATATAATATATAATATATAAACACGGGTGGCAATTAATGGTTCAATCTAATTCCTCACCCCAAAAATAGTGGGTATACATGGGTGTGTACTGCCTTGCCGACAAAATAGCTGAAATACTCGGAAAAGGGAAAAATCCCACTCCTCAGAGCCATACACCTACCAACAGTTTTCCCATGAATTAAATAATCTTAAACATTGGTTTCTATCACGGCCACCTTTAACTCCAGGCCGCGGCCTGTAGTTAAAGGCGGCCGTGTTTATATACAGTTGTCCATTTAAAATTTATATTGATTTATTTAAGAGCCCTTTTTTTATAAGAAAAATAACGCTCTTTGTTTTTTTGAAATTTATTTACTACTTCCTCTGATTGAGTTGCGTGGATTTTGGCATTAATTTCTATATCAATCGTGTTTCACATTATAAAGGAGAATGAGCGGAGCGGAGCGCAATAAAAATAATCCCCCATAAGTCAGACCCTTTTGTTATACACACTTTTTATATAGCATTAAAAAATATAAGGTTAAAAATGAAAAAAAAATTCAGAAAATGAAAGATAAGATTAACTTGTCATAAGGACTATAATCAATGATATCAAATGTTTTTGTACACCTTTTCCCAAATCGACTTCCTACAAATGACACCTATTTTGTACACAGCTAGCATTCGTCACGAGACCTTGCCGTCAGACCGTCACCGCCTTTTTTTCGTCTGTCTAGAAACGGGACAGCGGAATTGAAATCCGAACTAAACATCTGACCACGGGTTTCTGCTTCTGTCATCACCGAGCTTGTTTTAAATTACGCGGGAACAAAGTACAGTAGCCGTTTAATGTTAAATATAAGTCTAAATATGTTAATTGAAAATTATTTCTAGAATAATTATTAAAAATTACAAATAGCTATATAAGTCCAAATAAAGATGAATTACATAAAAATCCTAACTATTATTACTAGTTGTTTACACTGTTTAAATAACAAAAGTATAGAAAGAAAAAGTTTAATTCCATGTCATTCTAAATTATAGCTTACAGGTAGGCCTATTTTCAGCTGTGAACATTTTAAAACTAGTAACATACCTCGTGTTAAAATTCCTGGTCTTCTTTTTCAAAATAAATTCTTCTTCAAAAGCGACGATTTAACACATATTATATTACACACTAACACACACAAATAATATTTACATTTATTTACAACATTTTCTTCATCTTGGAAACTGTAACAACAAAATGAACATAAAAATTAGGCTATTTTAAATGAGAAATATCTTATTGTGAATTTTCTATAGGCCTACTTGTTTATTTTGTTTGTTTGTCAGTGTCACAAGTTACTCAACATGGGTCTACGTTTATGTTTGTAGGTTCTCTGTGAAAATATCTGGGATGTCAGTGTGTGTGTTCAAGTTCAAAAACTTTTATTTCAGTAAAAGATTTCGCTAGCATACCACTGGGCCGAGTGAATACAAGTACAGCAAGTATTTACTTGCGAGTAAATACTTGCAAGTATTCATCGTTCAGGTAATCTCTTGTGAATAAAAGCGACTCTTTACTTGCAAGTAAATCCTATACTCTAATACGAGCAATGTTTGCTTGTATGTATGTATGCTTGCACCAAGATCTCGAAAACGGCTCCGACGATTGTCTTAAAATGTTGTAAATAGTTTATTTTTGGTCTAAAAACGAGTTTATTGCAGTTAGAACTGCCAACAAAATTCTAATTACGTAGAAAAATGAAACTGAAAGTCTTATGGGTTGCTAAGTAATCATAATAAGGTCAATGGTTTGTGAGCTAGGTCAAAAGTGTGGCCTACATGAGTCTCACAGTACTCTACTTCGACATTTCCATTTTCAAAAAACGTTGCCTTTATTGAGGAAGGACAGAAACCATTTATTTTGCAGGAACCCTGTATCTTTGTTTCCCTTTTTCTTTTGCCGGATATAGGCTTAGGTTCAAAGTTTCCCGATCTATTGCACTTAAAATAAATTCTCTTCTTACCAGATAGAATCCTCTGTCCTGTTTGTTTTGTGAACAACACATTTTCCTTTTCCTCCGTCTTGCTTTTCCAAGTGTAGAAATCTGACACACTAGAAAAACTAAGAACTGACTTGACAAGTTGAATTTTGTGCAGATCTGCAAAATGTGTCTCTATCTCCGCTCTACTAAATGCACTGTTGCATACGCTGCAAATGGTATTTCTTGGTATATTCTTCTCCTCCTCAATTATTAATTCGTGAACTTCACGAAGGTGTCTAGTCAAAACCCACCTATTAACAAAAGGCTTATCGCAAAACTGGCACACATTCATTGTTGACATTTGACACCACGCGACCACGCGACAGACAGCATCGAATTTGACGTTTAAGTTCGGCACTGCTCGGTAAGATTCGGAAGCGTTCGGCACAGCGCAGTAGTGGGGGAAGCGTCGTTCCGATTTCAAATTCCGCTGTCCCGTTTCTAGACAGACGAAAAAAGAGCGGTGACGGTCTGACGGCAAGGCCTCCTGCATTCGTCAACTTTTCTTACTTCTCTTTCCGGCTGTAGCAGTAGCGTAGCTGTTATACCTAGGTGTGTATTTTACCGATGAACTAATAATTAAGTTAAAACATCTTAATTATCATCGTGGCTTATGGTTTGATGTAACTTAATTTGCTTATCCTGTCAATTTACTTTCATAGTTCTATCTTAATCGTTACTTTTCCACTTTACTGATTCGTTTAAGTTTTAAGGTTAAGTCACGTTACGTTTAGTTTTTCTGACATCTTCAGTTTTAGGAAGATAAAAATATTGGGTACAGTTTCTAAACGGTGCTACGCTTAGATTAATTGAAACTATCGAATTTAAAATATTGAATAATGATCGATATTTTAAAATATATTCTATTATAAAATTAAGTAAACTATCGTAACCTAACCTAACCAATCAAACTTGCTGATGGTGAAAAAATCGCATGAAGGTTTACTTCGAAACGAATCGATAGTTTCAATCAATATTAGCGTAGCCCAGTTAAGAAACTATACCCCGTGCATTTAAATATTCCATAATTGTTGAAATCAACAACATTTAATTAGTGTACAAAAACGATATGCTAGGCTATGTTAGGCACTTTGCAACTGTTTTTCTAATATCTCTTTTACCTCTTCTTTCTTCACCACAATCCTCAGATCGGGGAGTCGTCAAAATTTCTCCTTCGAGGTTAAGTTATAAATATAGAGGTTAAATAAATAATAGAGGTTAAGTTAAGTTATAAATATCAAATCATACTGGTGCTTAGGCTTATTATGATGCATGTTAGGCCTAAGGTAGTGTTTAAACCTTTAATATAAATAAAAGTAGTCTAGCTTTAGCCCCTACAACTAGCATATTGAAGGTACAATAAAATTTAATCAGTCTGCTTATTATCAAGTAGGCCTAGGCCTACTTCAATGGAGTCTTAAGTAATCACAGGTGCTTGCTAGATCTGAAGTGAATTGTATAAATTATAGGCCTATAAATATTTGAAAATAGCCACTTTGTTCTAAATTTTATGAGGATTACAAATATAATGAAGTGAGTATAATTAACATTGTTTTTAAGCTTCTCAGATCCGTTTTAATAAAACCTTGCAAATGCGCAAAAAATAGGCAGACATTAAGGCCAAAACTAGGGACACTCTGTTAAGCGTCGCGTAATCGATTAAACACACCCGCTGTGGTGTTATGCGTCGCTTTTGCGACACACAAACATCGTTTACGACGAAGGCTCCGGGACTGACTGAATCAGATTGAACTGGATCAAGAAATCTGTATCGTTCGTTCGTTCCTTGGTATCGTTGTTTTCGGCAGATTCTAAGCTTTCTCCTAATGTCTGTTTCGAGACGCTTTTCATTTTACTTCCGAAAATATTGCAGCAGACAGATGACGTGCGTATTTGTAAACAACTCGGTTAACCTCGCACTGATGACTGATGTTTTTTATTACGTTTATCATTGTTTTAGTGTTAAAAATAAAAAGTAGTGATATACGTGGGTGCATTATAAGAAGATTTAAGTGATTTTGAAGGGCTGGTTGATGATCCTGAAGAAGTAGGTGATACTGATGTAAATTATCCGCCAGATTCCTAGCTATGGTTAGGCTATGCATTCTTAGCTAACGCTAAACGTACGAAATCTGTTTTTCACCCATAACTTATTTATTTGCAAACCTACTTCCTAATATTATTATATTTTTGGAATCCTCATAAAATGTAGAACAAAATGGCTATTTATTAATATTTGCAGACCTAAAATTATAAAATTTTATTTAGTGCAAACATAAATCTTTTTTTATTTATTTTATAATTTTTGAGAAATGTTAATTTTTGAGAAATGTTAACCCCACAAAAATTTTTGATAGTTTTTGGATACGGTAATGTTTTAGTTTTATATATTACATTGAAGCCCATAATTTTCCAAACAAAATGATATATGAAACAGTATACCGGCACTTTAGAGTGTTTTTAAGTTTCTAAGATACATTTTAATAAAACCCTGCGATTGCGCAATAAATGGGCCGACATTAATACCACCGGATAATATGGACTTTTGGAGTGTTAATCTCGTCACTGCTGGCACTTTTCAGTGGCACGAGACAAGTACCTTACACTCGTCAAAGAGTTGTTTACAAACTATTGTTCCAATGCGAGGTTAGCCACTGCCGTGAGACGTTTGTACTTTAATCTGGTATAGGCCTAATTTGTTTTCAGATTCGACTATTTTATAGGTGGTAGGGATTGTTGCAAATTTATTGTAAGTTTTAGTGTGTGCTTTAGGCTTGGATCTAATGATATGCAACAGAACAACGATAATGAATGTAGGCTACTGTAGCATTGTGGAAGGAACCTAACTTATTAATTTTGCAAAGTCCTTGGTCTTCTGGGTACGACCGCGTCGGAAAACTAGGAGAAACACTAGTTGCTGACGTTTCGGCTTCGTTGCAGATAGCCATCTTCATGACTCAGTTAGTGCCTGTCACCAGCTCTGAAGATGGCTATCTGCAACAAAGCCGAAACGTCAGCAACTAGTGTTTCTCCTAGTTTTCCGACGTGGTCGTACCCAGAAGACCAAGGACTTTGTGTTAGTAATTGTGACCGTGGAAGCCTCACTTCCTAGTGTTATTAATTTTGCTTGACTGCTTTTTTTGCAAGATGTTTTTGAAGGTGTATCCGGGTATTTCACCCCTGCTTTTTCCCATTTGGCAATACTGAGGGCCCAGCTAGCAGTATTATTTAGTGCTGAGCAGCATTAAATAATTTTTAGCTTTTAACTTTTTGTTAGGTGAACATACTTTTACAAAAAATGATTAGAGAGAGAGAGTAACTTAAGTTACATAATAGGACTTGGGCCTAGTATTAAATAATTAAAGCGGCCGGCCATGGGGCAACCGCATGTGACCAGTGACCCCAATGAGTAACCAATTAATTACAATCGACAAGTTACATTTCATGTGTTTTAATTATTTTTATTACTAGGCCTAAGTCCTATTATGTAACTAAAGTTACTCTCTCTAATTATTATTTATTGTAAAAGTATAGACAAAAAGTTAAAAGGCATCCACACTGCATTTAATCTTATAACGTTTTACTATTACCTAATTCTGTAAATTAGAGCTTATTCATGATCACTGATCCGGACTCATTGTTGTTAATAATAACTTGCATGTTGAAACTAAATTAAAAAAAAAGTTAATTTAGCCTAATACCGTAGTTATAACTAACTTATAGGCCTAAGCTATTTTTGATCGTAACACTACTGTATTTTTTTAAACAACTTTCATTTGGGTCCAAACTCCCAACAGGCTACGTAATAAAATATTGCAATGGACTGCTTGGACACCATTACCACCTTAGAAAACCACCCTTTACATTGCAAATCTACTTGCTGCATAGCCTATTTTATATTTTACAACATTAAAACCTTTTTGTCTTACAGTTGTCCACCATGTCGGCTCATCTGCAGTGGATGATCATTCGCAACAACAATGCTTACTTATTGAAGAAGCGCAATATCAAGAAGAACTTGAGCACAGTAAGTTTGGTTCATAGGCTAACAAGTTATAAGGATTAACTTAGTCCTGTCAAATTATGCCTTAATGTTGGTAAATTACACTTCTTTTCTCAGCCTGTTACAGGGTTTTAGGTCCACAGGACAAACCTTATAAATAACATCAGATGAGCCACCTCGAAAAACCCTGATTAAGCTGTAAACCTGAAAAATTTGAATTTTCTGATTTTGATTTAAACACTACAACTGTGATCGAGAAATTGTAGGCTTACATTCGATTCACTTCGTGGTATTTGAATTAATTCTAATTAATTAGATTCCAGGATCTAGTGTGGTCATGGCGGTCAGCTACCTCGTTCCATGTAACATTGTGAAACTTTTTTGCTCAAATAAGTAAGATGATATTGTTATTTTAATTAGTAACTTCTCATCCTAAATATTAATAACTCATTGCCTAAGTTAATTTTGTGACCCAGGCCTAGGCCTTCTTAATAAATAGTCTATCCCACAATATTTTTATACTGAAATATTTAGGCCTAATCTTATTCAGTAGGTCTAAAGTTTTTTATTTTTGAGCCTTGAGCTAATATAATTAATGATTTCTGTGTTTTTCAAGCAGTGTATGTTGACTTAGTGCCTTCAACAAAGCATGCGCACGACACATGCAATAAATAAACTCAATTAACCTTTCACAAATGTATATTTTAATTTCTGTTCAGGAGCCCAACAACCTGCTCAACCTCGCATCATTCCGCTACAATGGTCTTGTGCACAAGAAGAGCATCGGTATCGAGGCACCACCAGAGAAGGGAGGCAAGGGTTTTGTTGCTGTCTACAAGCGAGGAAAGGCTTCTGTAAGTTTTATATTTTAATACTATAGAAGTAGGCCTATAATTTCTAACAAACATCAAAACAATTTATGTAAGGCTTTATAGGTTAGTAATGTAGATGCTAAAAAATACATTTTGTGCAAATAATTATTTCATTTAATTTTATCTAAGCCATTTCCTGTATTTCACTCATTTTAAATTAATGTTAATAGCCTAAATGAAAGGGTTTTTATCCTGAAAGCATTTTTATACAGTCATTTTTTATCATGATTAGTTCTTTTAGCGAACCATTATGATTGATTTGTTTGATTTATTTAATGCGCTTATTGAGTAGCTAGATACTACTGTAGGCGAGAGTTAAGAAGTCCTCTGAGCCAGAGTGATATGCTGCAAAGTTCGTATGTTGCCGCGCGGTATTTGCAGGTGCTCTTTTGGTTTTAACGCAGTGGTTGTGAGCCCTGACTGCCGCATGGAAGATAAGTAACTCGCCCGGAGCGCCTAGCCGTCGAGTATCAAGCGCCTGCATTTTTAGAATAGGCCAGCACTCAGAGGACTTCTTAACTCTCGCCTGCAATATAGCCTATAAATAACCAATTACTAAATATCTTAAGTTAGTTAGTTACTATCCAACCCTATTAAAGTTTCGTTTTATTTAAGCAGGATTCAACAAATTGCATCTTGATGCAATTATATCTGTAGCTTTAACGTGATTTGTTGTATTAAACTTATGGTTACAATAAGGTATAAAAATTGAACTTGCTAACTAATGTGTATTATTAAAAGCAAACAAAATAAGTAATACAAACATCATTCCCATTACGTTGTAGTGTAGGCTAATTGTAAAAAATCCATCAACAAATTGTCCCTAATATAGGTCTACTGGGAGCAAAACACACCCCCACGTCAAATTGATGTTATTATTTATTGATATTATTTAGATTGATGTTAATGATGGGTCCATTAAAAATTTATTCAGTTTAATGTGTCTTATTGCGAAATTACAATTTTAGCTTTCTTGATTCTGGGCGCTATTCCGAATCCAAATCAAATTTCAAAAAGCAGATTAAATCAGCTAAGTGTTGGGGGCCTAGCTATATTATATTGCCTACTCAAGGTAATTGATTCATTCATAAGTTCGGGAATCTAGAATTCAAAGAATTCAAATCAAAGAATCTAGAATTCAAAGTCCGTAAGCAACAATTTCTTGGACTATGTTTTGAGTCTGTAATCAAAACTGGCTCGATATAGATATTGCTGGCATGAGTCATGTGATACAATTGTTCCCTATGTTCAGCACAAGCCAGCCAAGAGCACGGTGAGGAGAACGTTCAAGGCAGCTCCTCGTCGCTCTCTGCACAAGCTGAAGAGGCTCATCATGGCGAACAAGTACAGAACTGACCTCTGCAAGGTAGGCCTAATTCATTTAATAAGCAAATTTACATAATGACAAGTTTAAACTTGATTTTATTAATTATTGCTTATCAAACAAAAGTATGTGACTAAAATACCAAAAGTTAATGAACATTATTTTTTTGCCTTCTTCTGGCATTCCCATTTGCCACAAAGCCGCTACGTGTTTAGTCAACACACTGTCATCTTCAGGCATCCTCTATAGCTTTATCATAAATATCAACATAAAACGGTAATTACTCACTATTTACCCACAAAACAGACATTTAACACATAACCGAAATTTTCGTCATGGTGGCCACATCTTACATATGCTCACAACTCGCGAGTAATGTTGGGCGACGACTCAATTAATAGTGTGTGTACATGAGATGTGGCCACCGGGGTGACCATACTAGTTATGTGTTAAATGTCTTTGTTTTGTCTGTGAATCGTGTGTGATTCTGTTTAGTTTATGATAAGTTAGGTATCTATAAGGATAGTAGCCCTAAATGCCTTAGATGTCAGTGTGTTAACGAAACGTATCACAAATTAGTAGCGAGTAGGGAGATACCAGCAAGCACAAGAAGCGCAAGTGCTCAACGTTATGTTTACGTAATGAATACTCTCACTTTCAATTCGTAGGCCTTTAGTAAATATTTTATTTGTGATTTAATGTTTGTGACTTATGTTTAAAAACCGTGACATGACATTATGTGTCGAAAAAGTAAAGTTTTGTATAATGATATGAAAATGGTATAGTAATACCGAAACGCTTAATCCTGTTGGATGATTGAGGACCACTAGTGGCAGTTAGCAGGTACCTTTTTACTTTGATTTGCATAAAGTGGCCTAGAAAAACAACTACAACATGAGATCAAATTTGTCCAAATCACAAACATTTATCCGTCAGTGTTTAAAGATTATGTTTCTATTGCAGGCTGCCTTGAGAAGAGCCAGCGCCATCCTCAAGTCACAGAAGAGGACAGTGCCTGTCAAGAAGGCAAGAGCAAAGAAACCTGAATAAATGTTACATTTGTTACAGTAAAATTAAATGCTCTTTTTATTTAAATTTGCCTCCTTAATTATATTCACCGTAGAAGCTTTCCCATATAAGTTTAATACCGTACTCAAAGCAATACAACTTCCACATTTCCCTACCTTTACCACCTTTCTCCTCTTTTCCCTCAAGTACTCTTTATCTTAGATCCACCTTTTCTAGGTCTTCCTCTTCAAATAGGAATTATTTTTCTTGTAGTCTCCAATGCTGAAATCATAGGCTTGCTTTCTCTTCCCCCTCTTTTGATCTTTTAATAGGTAATTCTAGCATTCCTAGTTTTGTTCTTAGTTGCTCTTTGAAAAATACTATTCCTTATACTTGCACTCATTTCTTTCTTGTAGGCTACATTTCATAAGTACTTCCTCCTGACAGTTAAAATATTTGTATATTTATTAAATATAGCTATTGGTAAATAATTTACTTTTTTTTGCCTTCATTGGTACCTCCACATTATAGTTTCACTCTTTAGTAAGAATTTGGTTTATGATCCTTATCCAAAAAGATATATTTTCTGGAAAACTAAAAAAAAACAATAACAAACCTATGATACAACAAATATTTTATTTGCAACATACATAACCTATTTTACATTTAAAAAGTGTATAAAAATAGTGACTTAAAATGAATAAATATCACGTAAAGGTGCTGAAAGATCTTATGGACGGATGAGTTTCAATATTGTGTAGGCTTAATTATATTCTACATCTGAGTGACTTCTACGTTAGATGGAGGAGGTGAACGACAGAACGGACAGTGACCATGTTGCAGAATCTTCATCTCAAAATCATCTGTGTGAAACATCTGGAAAGAAAGTGCATTAGTCACAAAGAGAGGAAATAAAATGCAGTAGATTTAGTTACATGGACAACTGAGTAAAGTTTGATAAACAAATTTTAAATCACAAAAAGATATAGTTGTGAAGTTGCTGTGAAAACAAGCATCTTGCATTGTCAGTGTAACATTTAGCAATTTACCTAATTATTTAAGAGAACAAAAACGAGTGTCTATCGTGGTAGTTCAAAACACATAATTACAAAATGAGCATTCCTCACATATCCAATGGCAACTGAACACCAAATTATATGAGCTTCCGAAGTTACGGATATACAACAACTCAACAACCCTTCTATCAAACCAACGGCGCAACTACAGCATGAATTAAATAAACGGTATCAGCAATCTGACACATGCTTTCTCCTATTAGCTTGACATTAAAATTAAACAACTTTGATGAGAAAAATATTTTTTTAATAACCGTTACTTATACTGAGTGTTCGGTGGTTATGGTATTTTATGGGGAAAAAGAACAAAATTCAAATGACTTTTGAACCGTAATCTTAAGTCTTGGGGATGTACCGTTCAGAGGGACCCAAATCGGATGTTAACACTCAAAACTTATGTTGACCAAAACAATACTTTTTCCTACTGTCACCCGACAAAGTTGGCTTCCTTGTACTGTTTATAGAACAGAAAGCTGCTAATTGCTGCATATTTATACTTTGGCGCACATCAGGATTCCAACGAAACAACACAAAACAGCGTGGTTATATTATGCACGTAATCCGTGTACGCTTGGAAATAGGTTGGCAACACTTAAAGATAATAATACTATGAGCAGCTGATTGACTATTATAACTACGATTTAACCTGTCATTTTGTGTTTATAGTTTCGGTATTTCTGATCTTTCTGGACTTTTCTTTTAAACGTTTTTAAAACATTCCTACGACCTTAATAAACAAGAAAATACCTTTAAAGCATTTTTTTAGGTGCGGAAACCACTTCAAATTACACTCGAGATCATTCCTAACCAACATTGCTCTCGTGTACTAGTTACACAAATAACTATTTCCTACAGTCACCCGACAAAGGTGCACAGATTTATAGTACAGAAAGCCTTACTTTGGCGCACACCAGTATTCCAACCAAACAACACAAAGCAGCGTGCTTTTATTATGCACGTAATCCGTGTACGCTTTAATTAAGTTGGCAACACTTAAAAGATATTACGACTACGATCAGCTCGTGCAGTGTTTCCCATTTCGTTCAATGTTTGGATTTAACCTCAACTAAAAACATGTTGTACAGTCTTTGAAAGACTAGTTTTCTCTATGCTTGATGGTACAGTAACTGTAGGAAAAATTTAATGTGTAACACGAGTGCAAAGTGCTTTGCTGCACTCAAGAAAATTTCATTACTGTTGTGTGCAGCAAAGTGCTACTTTGCACACTAGTTACACAAATAACTATTCCATATACTAAGGGGGAGAAATTAAAAGGTGATTTATTGTGCTTCGCATTGTATGTCTCTTGCATACCCCACAGCAGTGTACCTTATTTATATCCTATACTCTAATACGAGCAATGTTTGCTTGTATGTATGTATGTATGTATGTATGTATGTATGTATGTATGTATGCTTGCTTGCACAAAGATCTCGAAAACGGTTCCGACGATTTTCTTCAAATGTTGTAAATAGTTTAATTCTGGCCTAAAAACGAGTTTACTGCAGTTAGAACTGCCAACAAAAATCTAATTACGTAGAAAAATGAAACTGAAAATCACATTTTTTTAACATTAGTCTTATGGGTTGCTAGGTAACCTTGTTGGCTGAATTAAATAACAAGGAAAAGTAAACAAAAGACTTGAAGTTGTAGCATGTGTTCATAATAAGCCAACTACCCACAGTATACTAGCAAATTACAAATACAGTACAAAAGGAAAAACATCATTTAGCAAAGATTATACTGAAGATTACTCGATACATTGTAGTCAAGGGTAGCAGTGAGAAGTCTGGGATCTGTTTATGACGATTAGATAAGGGTATGGGCAATCCTAAAATGCTATGGGAAGGGAGGGAAACAGGTCCGTGACGTAGGAAGTGGTGAAGGAAGTAGTCAAGGCGAGCTGTCCGGAGTGTGGGAACTGTTTATGACGATTAGATAAGGGTATGGGCAATCCTAAAATGCTATGGGAAGGGAGGGAAACAGGTCCGTGACGTAGAAAGTGGTGAAGGAAGTAGTCAAGGCGAGTAGTCCGGAGCGTGGGAACTGTTCATGACGATTACATAAGGGTATGGGCAATCCTAAAATGCTATGGGAAGGGAGGGAAACAGGTCCGTGACGAAGGAAGGTGTTAAGGAAGTAGTCAAGGCGAGCTGTCCGGAGTGTGGGAACTGTTTATGATGATTGGATAAGGGTATGGGCAATCCTAAAAGGCTATGGGAAGGGAGGGAAACAGGTCCGTGACGTAGGAAGTGGTGAAGGAAGTAGTCAAAGCGAGCTGTCCGGAGTGTGGGAACTGTTTAAATAATGATTGGATAAGGTTTCTACAATCCTAAAAGGCTATGGGAAGGGAGGGAAACAGGTCCGTGACGTAGGAAGTGGTGAAGGAAGTAGTCAAAGCGAGCTGTCCGGAGTGTGGGAACTGTTTAAATAATGATTGGATAAGGTTTCTACAATCCTAAAATGCTATGGGAAGGGCGGGAAACAGGTCCACGACGTAGGAAGTGGTGAAGGAAATAGTCAAGGCGAGTAGTCAGGAGTGTGGGAACTGTTTAAACGATTAGATTAAGGTATCTGCAATCCTAAAATGCTATGGGAAGGAAGGAAAACAGGTCCGCGACGTAGGAAGGTGTTAAGGAAGTAGTCAAGGCGAGCTGTCCGGAGTGTGGGAACTGTTTATGACGATTAGATAAGGGTATGGGCAATCCTAAAATGCTATGGGAAGGGAGGGAAACAGGTCCGTGACGTAGGAAGTGGTGAAGGAAGTAGTCAAGGCGAGCTGTCCGGAGCGTGGGAACTGTTCATGGCGATTAGATAAGGGTATGGGCAATCCTAAAATGCTATGGGAAGGGAGGGAAACAGGTCCGTGACGAAGGAAGGTGTTAAGGAAGTAGTCAAGGCGAGTAGCCGGAGTGTTGGAACTGTTTATGATGATTAGATTAAAGTATTTGCAATCCAAAAATGCTATGGAATGGGAGGAAAACAGGTCCGTGACGTAGGAAGTGGCGAAGGAAGTAGTCAAGGCGAGTAGTCCGGAGTGTGGGAACTGTTCATGACGATTAGATTAAGGTTTCTACAATCCTAAAATGCTATGGGAAGGGAGGAAAACAGGTCCGCGACGTAGGAAGTGGTGAAGGATGTAGTCAAAGGCGAGCTGTCCGGAGTGTGGGAAATTTTTATGACGATTAGATTAAGGTATCTACAATCCTAAAATGCTATGGGAAGGGAGGAAAACAGGTCCGTGGCGAAGGAAGTGGTGAAGGAAGTAGTAAAGGCAAGTAGTCCAGAGTGTGGGAACTGTTTATGACGATTAGATTAAGGTATCTGCAATTCTGAAATGCTATGGGAAGGGAGGGAAACAGGTCAATGACGTAGGAAATGGTGTAGGACGTAGTAAAGACGAGCTGTCCGGAGTGTGGGAACTGTTAATAACGATTAGATTAAGGTATCTACAATCCTAAAGTGCTATGGAAATGGAGGGAAACAGGTCCATGACGTAGGAAATGGTGTAGGGCGTAGTAAAGGCGAGCCGTGTGGAGTTTGGGAATGGATCTATGTGTCTCCAATACAGTACTAAGACTGCTTTCAGAGTGGACTAATGATTTTCCCCGAGCAAAGCTCGGTCCCCAGGTACTTTACCTTATTGCAAGAGTGACAGACAGATATCTGCAGTTCAGGTAGCAGACTACGGTAGTACTGGTAATGAAGGGGAGGAGGCCACTTGCATATAACCACTGTGCCAGGGTCCATGGCCTTAAGGGTCGATCTGTTCACCACAACAGGCTCGAACTGGTCAGCTTCCGACTGCAAAAAAACATTCTAAATAATAATATTATAACTTGTAATTCATCAAGCTTACCTTCAGGTGACTCAAATAATGCTGTTGCTAACCTTGAAAAAATTGCAATGGATGAAAGAAATAAGTGTATGAAAACAATCATCAACGTTTCAAGATGAAATGTTTAAACAAAAGAAAGATTAAGTATTTTCAGCTGAAAAGCCCCATATAGA